CAGCAACCAAAGAGCTTTTCCTCTGCATCTCCATCTCGTTGTGTGTTTTTATGGTAACCAAAAAACAAAAAAAAGATAACAATCAACAGAAGTTTTCTTTTGCTTCAACGACTTGGTATCGGTTTCAAATTTCATGAGGCAAAGCAAAATATTTCCCTCCAAGTTGCAGGCACCTTAATTTACTTGGTTATCCAAGTTTCAGGACTTAAAGGTACAAAAGGCAAATACAAACGCTGACTATGAAATCGAGCTCCTTGAAGGAAGATTCCACAAGCGGACAATCTTTGAAGCCGATACAGCAAAATATTTTTAATTATTTTTGCACAATCATAAAGTCCAGCTTGAAAAGGAAATTAATTGAATTTGCGACCTTGAAATTGGGACCAAAATAAAGGAAAGAGAGAAAAGGAAAGGAAATTCGACCAGCGGCCTGTGGCATTAAATTGAAATATGAACATGAAAGCGTTTTCATTTCCATTCATCAACCGGGGCCCCGACGACCTTAGACATTAGCACATTCACACACCATGTTTTATGTGTGTGGGTACGACTCCTTCTCCACTCCCACACTTACTAGTATTATTTATCAAAACAAGTGGAAGAAGAGACACACACTCTCTTTTGGGGGACCGGAGGCAAGACGTAAAAAACGGACGTGCCGGGGTCACCAACTTATCTTCATCTGGCTGTGGGAAAAAGTGGGAAAAGCGGAAAAGCAACCATTTCCCAACCCTCGTTTGTCTGCCATTGACGGCCCGTGCGTGGCCAACTCCTCTTTTCGACACTCTCCCTATTTTTTATGCACTGTAAAAAATAATTACTATAAAGAAAATATGAAATAGGGGATATACCTGAAATTATTTTTTCTATTATCCTATAGAAAAAAATGAGGGAGATTGCATGGGAATTACTTACTTCTACATAAAATTTTCTAATAGTTGGTAAACTTTTTCGCCAGGTGCACCATTTGGACTTGGGCCAGACTAAGAAACGAGGCGGCGATAATTTAGGGCACACGTAACGTAAAACGAAGTCGGGCAGAAGGCAAAGGTTCCTGGGGATACTTTAGGAGATAGCCTCGGTCCCTTTCTCATTTCCTTCTCGCGGAAGTCCCGTCTCGGCCCAGCGCCAGGACATTAGGGATAATCATTACGATGATAAGCACGAACGATTTGATTTCTCCCATTTATGAGGCCGTTGTCATCGACAGTTTGGATAGGATATCCCAGAGAAAAAAAATCAAATAGAATGGAATGGAAACTGGGGGATGAGGCGCTTCCTTTTTGATCGGAAATGCTGGGCTTATGTTTTGGGGTCTGTGTATCTATGTTTGGCTTTGCTTTTGTTTCGATAAGTGACTCAAGTGGCTTTTGTAGCTTTATTTTTATGGCTACTCTCCCAAGCGTACCCCTTAGTGGTCCTGTTATAGTTCACAGCTCATTTTGTTTATTATTATTTAACGTTGCCGAATTTGTAACATTTGTATCAAAGTGAGCGACCTGTTGTGTTTACCTTAAAGGTGTGGATTAAATAATCAATAAAAGTGGAACAGATTTGTTTTCAAAAGTTTACCAAAATAACTCTTGAAAAGCAAACCGAAAATTCTCTGCAAAAAAACTATTTTAAAAAATTCATCGCTCAAAGTGTTTATAATTTTAGTTTTGGCCACATTTTTTCAATGGCCTTTTATGCAGTTTTCCATTAGAAACTTTTTCTTTGGCGGAAGTTAGCTTTTTATTTTATTATTTTCAATTAGAAACTTGATAAATGCGTTTCGCCTTTTAGCTAGTGCTTTTGTGGCCAAAAAATCCTCATTATGTTTGGGGTTTCCCCCTTTTTAATCCCCCCCCCCCACATGCACGTTCCACTTCAGCCCGTGCACACAAATGTGTTTTGGTTGAGCTTTTAAAAAAGTTTCCGCTTCCTGTTAATGTATATAGAAATTTCTCATTCTTTGCGCGCACTCATTGTGTTGGCACTTTATTCACAATTTTGGTTTTTTTTATACACATATATTTTTGCGTGAACTTTAGATTTGACCCAGTTTCCTGATGCCGCCGCTGCTTGCCTTAACCCCAAACGGAAAAGTTGTTATTGCATATATTTCGCTCAGACAACGCGGCGTATGCGTAATGCCTGTGAAAAGTTAAAGAAGCATTCGCCACGCTCGACGAACTTTTGCATTTGCCGTATTTGTGTAGGCGAAAACTAACAAGCAAATTTGCTTTTAATTTCCAAAAAGCAAAGCAAGAGCTAAAGCCAAAGCTGAAACCTCTCAGCATTTCGAATTCATGAACACAAATATTTGAGAAGAAGGGAATTGGTTGGGGCTTGTACTTAGGAACACTTAATGACAAAGTAAGTCAAAATGTAGCGACAACATTTGCCCATACATCATGAGATAAGAGAGGGAATGGAAATGGCTAGAAGGAGGAGAATAAGGATGGCAAGGATAGCAAGGATAGCGAGCGAGCGGTTTAAGGACTGAGCTAACAAATGGCATCATCACTTTCACTTTACCAAGTTGCAGCAGCAGCAGCAGCCGACAGACAGTGCGGTCTGCCACTATAAGTCAGCGTCACTTTAATCTAGATATCAGGCAAACAAAGCTCTAAACTTATGACGAACGAGTCATTCATGTTAGAGAAACTATTTTGGAATTATTTGGGTATTTACCCACAAAGAGTTTTTAAGTACAAGAAAAGGGGAACTTATATATAGGCGGGCAGAAATATTGGACCTAATCTAATATAATTGAAAAAATAAGTCTTGTCAGTATTTATAGGCTCTTAACTACATTTTGCTGGCAATGAATGGGTATCCTTGCTAATATTATCCTTTTAGCAGCATAATCCTTATACTTTCGCCTGGAACTGTAGCCTCTTGGCTCACTTGGTTAACCCACATTGACAATGAGGCAAACATCAGGCAGACAACGGATGAGGGATAGAGAGCAGACTTGTTCCCTTTGCCCGGCCATCCTTAAAAATCCACACGTAGAACAGAGAACTCTTTCATCAGCAGGAAAAGGAATACACAGACAGAGAAGAAGATGTAATACCCTTTTAGTTTGTAATTGAATTATAGAATCGAATTAGAAGTCGATAATAACTAAGCTTTGGATTAATATTTATATATTATTTTATATGACTTTTTTTTACATATTTGCATTTATTTTGAATCGGAGATCACCCTCATGCTAGTTTTAATTGAGTTAATAAATCTGCTTACTAAAATTAAAGTTTTGAAAAATTCAAATTTTTAACATTCTTTGAACATTTTAACGATGTAAATATTTCAAAAAAATTTCAAAAATTTATATTTTGATCAGACATGGCTAGATCGTCTCGGCTGTTGATGCTGATCAAGAATATATATGATTTATAGGGTCGGAAATGACTCCTTCACATGGTTTCAAGCTTCTGATTAAAATTGGAATTCCTTTGATTTGAGATAAATCTAGCATACGTAGCGTATACTTAATGTGAAAACCCTTAAATTAAGTATACGCCATGTGTGTCTTAAGAAAGAATAGTTTCCAAATTAAGAAGATAAGTAGTTCCAGTTAAAAAGAAAGTTTAGCAATTAAATTATAAGATCGCAGATAAGATCAAGAATATGATCTGACTAAAATTATAATACCCTGCTCTTATAACATCAATTTCGGAGTGTTAAATATTCATTTTATGTTGATAATGAAGATTAATATATTCCTTTTAAAGATCAAATTAATAAGAAATCTGTATCTTATATTTATATTGTAATAAATTAATTTTATTATCTTTAACGAAACATTTTTTGTGTGTAAAACCAGGAGCAGAAGCGGCAACAGCAGCAGTTTTCTTGCCTTGCTTCCATTGTGTCAACAACAAGCGAGGTCACCGAAGAGAGGGGGTGTTAAGGGGGCGTTGGGTTGGGGGTGGCATTAACTGCAGCACATTAATGTTATTGTAGGCGCGGGCTTCACAGGCGACTGACTGACTCGCTCGCTTTCCCTCTCGCTTTCGCTGGGGACAAAAAGGAGCTTTTGTTGTTTGGCGATTAAAAGTTGTTGTCGCTGTCTTCCTTTCGCTTTTGTCCTCATTCGTATGACATCGTGGCGGGGCTTCCCCCATTTCTGGTTACACTTTTGTTGTTATTCCATTTGCTGTTGTTGTGGCTGACCCGCTAACCTCACAACACACACAAACACATACACACACATAGTTAGTCTACTCCTGCACGGAAAATTAAAAGAAAATTTATAACAATAGTGGAAATGAATGTACTTTCGCCTTAAGAATTGAATGGAATTTATTTTGTTAAGATGACTGAGGATTTAGATATAGTGACGAAGCCAAAGTTTAAAATACCCCTCCAGTGTGCAATGGAATTATAGGATCGAATCGAAAATAAATCATAGCTAAGCTTAAAATATTCGCTATATTTATATCTTTTCGACAAATCTTAAGTTACAAAACTCATAACTAAGCCAAAAAAGGACTACATCTACATACTCAATTTAAAATTAAAAAAAAATAAAAATTTATCAATTTTGACAAATTTAATGATATAAAAGATATAAATTTTTAAAAATTAAAAAATTTAAAATTTTCCTATTAATGCCATAACAACTGAACGATAAATATAGAAATTATTATACCAAGAAATTTAACCCAATTTGGGTACGAAAACCCACTATTTTCGTGACCACTTCCGCTGTTATTTTCCTGTGTAACCCAAAAGTAACCCGCGCCCACGGCCATAAAGTGTGCTCCGGAAAATTCACCCACTTGGCACAGTTTCCTCGCACAATTACGGGCCAATCAATTGCCCAAGCTGTCAATAGTTGTTGCCAATAAATTTATTGAGAGCACGGCAAATCGAACTTGGCAAAAGCTGCAGCGCCAATATTGCCGGGGGTTATGCAGTCAGAGCCAAAAAAAAAAAGAAAATAAAAATAAATAAAAGTAAAAACTTATCGCACATTTTTGTATTTCTTTTCTGGTCTTTATTGCCAGGGAGGAGCCAATGAACTTGCTGACAACTTGAGCCGGCCACAAGTAGCAGGTCGTGGAGGAGAAGCCCCTTGGGCGGTCAAGGAATCATGGGTGACCTCCAGGCCACCATCGAGTTCTCCGTGGAGCTGCACAAGTTCTTCAATGTGGATTTGTTTCAGCGCGGGTGAGTGTTTGTCGCCACGTTTTAAGAGCCCTCCTCAATCACTGAGCCGTATTCATTCCACACAGCACGTAAAGCAACAAAATAAATACGAATAAACTTTTGATTACAACGCCATCGCAATTGATCGATAAGATGACTTAAAGTCCTCACAAATTCGGGTCACAAGACATCATATTCCTTTTATTTCATTAATTTGCGGTCGAAGTGTCAAAATATTGCTAGCCATATATCGCTAAGAGCATGTTGAGCAACATGTTGCTAAGTTTCAGAATATAAGCAATAATATTTTGGGCAAGAGTATGTATCGGAGTAATATATATAAAAATAAATATGAATATAAAAACAAGGTAAATAAAATTGGAGAGATGCCAAGAAAAATAATATTTTAAAATAAATAGTTAAAGGGTTTTCATTTGTTTTCATTTCAATTAAAAAAAATAACTTCCACTCATTAGAACTTTCACAAATGTGGATTGTAATCCGGAATCAACTTCCCGTAAAAGAGAGCTTTTCGTTGGCTTACATCTAACTTGCAGTCCACACACGTGGATCCAAATACGGGATCTACTTCCCGTGAGAGCGGTTTTATCTCGTTTGTTTACATTTCTTTTTCAAGGGCAAATATCAGGGACCCAAGCTCTAATGTGGAATCGAACATAAAGGTGGGGGGGAGATGAAAGGTCAAGAATAGCAGTAAAATATAAAAGAGATCGTCACTCACCCTGTGTTTTGTTGCTGGAAGTTGAAAATGGGAAAGCGCTTTTCCTCAGCTTTGCTGAAATTCTCAATTTACAAAAAATTTCACACAAAAACAAATATATAAAGAAATGCACAACAAATCACTGACAAATGCACAACAAACAATGTAAATATGCACATGTTGAACCACCGAAAAAAAACAAATAAAAAAATACATTTTCCATTACTTCTCACTCACTCTTTGAGCCGCTTCGCCCTGCTTCCTTTTTTTACCGATCGATAAAAGCGCACAACAACGAGGCGGAATTAGCGCGATCTTGAAGCACTTGCACTTTCGGAAATCTTCCGTTTCACTTGCACAACAAAAGAAAAAACAAAAAACTAACGGCTTGACATACCCGGCTTCACACATTCCGCTTTTTCGTTCTTTCATTTTCCCGTTATTCGCCACCACCGCGCGTCACGCGACCGAAAATTGCAATCGGCATCTTTGGCGTTGCTTATAATTTTATAATATCACATATTAAAATCACTAATTAATCACTTGTGTTACACTGAATGACCGCGGACCTGCTAATTTTGTTTACTTCTTATTGCACTCCATTTATGTACGAATTGTGCAGGTCATTTATGCAGCTGCGGCCGGACAACTTTTTTAATCCGAATTGCACAATTAGATTTCTTTGTTTCAGTGCGTTTGCGTTATCCAATTAGGAAAACGAGTTGTTCTTGTTGTTTCACTCCACTTTAATTCACAATTGGATCAGTTTTTCACCGGCAAATTGAATTTTTCTTTTCGCAAATTTTCCGTGGCCATCTTCATTGGTTGCGATTATTTTTATAATAACAGTCTGTTATTATCAGTAGCTCCGATTCTTTTTAATAACATGCTGTTATTTAACATTTTACACATAACATGTCTGGAAAGCCGTTTTACACGTTTACAGACCCGAATTCTCATTTTTGGGGTCAAATTCTCATGTAGGATGTAGAATTCTCATGTAGGATGTAGAATACTCATGTAGGAAGTAAGATCCATTAACAGACCTGCTCTCATTAACAGATCTGCTCTCTCGTTGGCTATCGGGAGCGAGGATGCAAAAACAACAATGTAGAATCGATATATCGATGTTCGTTTGAATAGAGTATCGCTTAAATATTTTTAGTATCGATCTATCGGTGTCACCACGTAACGTATGTTCAAAATGATTGAAAACTTCATACGGGGATTGCTTATTATCGCTAAACGCTCGTTTCTATTGCAGCTATATGATATAGTCGTCCGATCCTACTTGTTTAGACCTATATTCGAGTAAGAAAAACTAAAAGGCTAACTGCTAAGATTAATTTAGATAGCTTTAAAACTACCAGACTAACTGGCTGGTGATGCTGATCAAGAATATATATATATTTCCTGAAGGCAGCTATATAAATGTATATATATAGTCCGTCGATCCGCCATGCTCCATACATATATACTAGTAAAATTATATAGAAGAATAACTGCATAGTTTTATTCAAATAGCTTAAATTAGTTCCAAAACAAATCTAGCACATCTGTGCTTATGATTCCCAACTTGTTCAAACATCCCCGGAATGAAGCGACTGCTGCCTGCCAAGTCTTAGGAATGTGTTGTGTTACAAAAGTTGCAAGTCATTGTTTATTAGTGTTCAAAGTTAGTAACTCGCTGCTCATAGTTAATTAATGTTGAAAGATACTTACTAATCCTCTATATTCAACAACCGTTTTTCTGGCAGTTATATTGTATAGTATTCCGAATTTCATAAAACTTAAAACGAAATTCTATAATAATAAAAGATAGTTTTGAATAAAAAAATATTAATATGTTAAAAACTGTAAAAGTTATAATTTTTTTTTCTAAAAATTTTCCGATCGTATCTATATGATATAGTCGTCCGATCTGGCCAGTTCCAACTTATATAAAGTGAGAGTATATAGAGCAATTTAATTTCCCATTTTTAGTGGGCCATAAAACCCAATGGCTCAAGTGCTTACCAAATATTTCCAAGTATTGTGTTTTAATAATTGCTTTCAATAAACTTTACTGTTTATTCGGCAGCACTTATACTACCATTAGCATGAAGCTACGGAGCTTAAAGTATTGAAATCCTTAAGAAAACAAACTAGCAATTAGTACTTTTATGTTTGCAGATTATGATGATAAATTGCACTTGGTAATTATATGCAAACATTGAGGAAAATCAGGTCAAATGGGACATTTACACACGGCTCGCTCGTGCTACAGAAAAATATCAAATGAATTTGTTAATTTTTCTGCAATTTGTTGTGCACACTCACACAGCGAGCTCCGAGTGTTGAGCAAATAAAACGGAATGCAGCAAATGGTGGGGGGCAAATGGGGGTGTACTGACCGTAGCACTCACTAATTGTCAGCCGAGTGTTTATGGGATTTCAATTTGTTGCTGTTTCTGTTGCTCTTGAAGATTACCGGGCAGCAGCAGCACCAGCTCGTGTTTTAAAAATACATAAAAAAGGAAAGGGAAAAGATACAAAAATGTGCGCAAATAAACGACTGTAAAAAAAAATAAAAATCAAGCAATTGGTTTGGGCTGATTTTTATGTGTGTTTTTCCTTGATTTTCCTTTTTTGCCTGTCACTGCGAGTGACGCTGCTGCCGATGAGACAAAAGTGTCACTGGTCGACACAACTCTTGGGAATTGAGGCTTTACTTCCGGTGATCTTTAAATGTTTGGACATGGATTATTAAAGGAATTAAATATATAAAGAGTTGATAAAGGAATGATTTGGATTTGTTTATATAGCAGCAAGTTTAATGCAGAATTTAATGCCGAACCTCTGAAGTGGATATGAAGTATATTTAAATCAATTTTTTTAAAACGCTTACGTTGCTCATTGCTGTTCCCTATTATGCCCAAGATTTATTGAATGGTTAAATTGATTATTCCCTTTCTTTTTTCTCCTCTTTCACATATTTATCCCCATCCCTATGCTGCAGCCTCTACCAGGTGCGTTGTGGCCTGCGTGTATCACCCCGTCTACCCGTCCAGGTGGAGACGAGCATACCGGATGCCAGCGGTCCCGGCAAACAGAACGGACACGCGAACGGCCTGGGTTCCGGATCCGGCTCCGGATCGGCCAACGCCACCGGCAATGCCACCGACCATGGCAGCAGCGACAGCGAGCGGGGCGAATTGTCACCGGGTGAGGGCAGTGGGAACCTGGGAAGTGCCTCGCTGGCGGGCAGCTGCTCCTCCGCCTCGGTTATCAACGGCAGCGGCGCCTCGCGCATCTTTCAGATACTCTATCGGAATGAGGAGGTGCCTTTACGCGACATCATCCACTTTCGAAGTCATCTTCTAGGTGAGTAGCAAGAACTTGGCTTAATACATTTTTAATTAAATTACTACCCTGAAATCCTATATTATATAGTACAAAAATATTGTTTAAAATGTTTGCCAAGTAGGCTAGGCTAGGCTAGAAATTTGCACTTTTGCGAGTGCCAAGAATGCGGAGAATTCCCCGTTGCCGCATTGGTGGCATTTCGGTGGCAAAAGCCAACCAAAAAACCAAAAAAATAAAATCGACAAAAAAGAATAAAATGTCGCCCTGAGCATGGCTAACCAGACACCAAATCACTCGTCCAGTCAGCGGACACCAAAAACTTTCCGACCCGAAATGAGTTTATTGTTCGATTGGAAATATAAATCAAATTGTCAGAGACCGGACAAAGTTTGCCGCTGTCCCTGGAGCTCTGGGAAATGCTCCGAGCAGGGATCAGTGGGCGTGGCAGTGGGTGTGGAAATGGAGCCAGATGATGACCACACGGGACAGATGCCGAAACTTTCGGTTGGGGGAATATATTTCCACCTAATTGCATTTATTGCTGGCTGCAGCTAAAAGGATTTTCTGCAGCTCCTTCGCCTGGAAATGCAATTACGGCAAGTTGCGGAAAACTCCTTTTAGAAGCCACTGCTTCTGCCTTATTTTCTGGCAAAGAAAATGGAAAAACTTGGCCACACATTGACCCAGTTTTCTTTTTTCTTTCTCTTAACACACAAAGACGCACACAAGGTAGAAGAAGGCCAAGTGTAAAGTGAAATAAAAAGTAAACAATTCAGTAATAGATTATGCCAGCAGATCGAATAAAAAAGAGCTACAAAGTGTGAAAACTGTGTTAAACTTTATGGAAAAGTTTTCGTAATTATTCTTAACACAAGGCAGAAACTTGAACTCTTTCAATGCAATTTAAAGCTATTAAAGTTGATACATATTACATAATACATTACAGCATGGATCATTAAGGCAAATATATTTTTTTCAACTCGCTAAACGTTTATATAGTAATCCAAAATAAAAATATATTTAACACGCGGCACAGAGTACCTCATAAAACACTATAAAATTCTCATGAAAAACAAAGGCGGGGAAAATACAAAATTGAAAGTAAATTTTCGCATCAACAAGGGGCGGAATAAAAGCGGAAAACACCAGGAAAATATAAATACATATATAAACACACACACGAAGCGTGAATATGGTGGATAAAAATATATAAAGAGATATTTTTATTCGAATATTTATGGGGGCATTGTGTAAGGGAATAAAAAGCGCAAGGTGCCGGCATTTTGCTCTCGAAAAAGTGCGAGAATGATGAGCACTTGACAGACAGCGCCTATTTCCCCCACAGTTTCCCCCACAGTTTCCCCCACAGTTTCCCCCACAGTTTCCCCTAGCTTTTCCTAGCTCAACTTGAGCCCTTATTGTTTTTTTGCTTTGCCTTTCTTTCGGCCAACAAACAATGGAAACATCATCCACTTGGCTGCTGGGTAAAGTGATTAATTCATTTGGACAAGTTTCCCAAGCATGTGTGTGGGGTGGAATCTGGTGGGGGAATCCGCAGAGGAGCCACCGCAGGAACCAGCAACAAGAGTAACTTTTACTTGACAGCTTTCAGTCTCTGTTGTTGATGTTTCGCGTGTGTGTGTGTCGTGTGTGTGTGCGATTGTTTTGGTTTTCCTCGAAACGTCCTGCGCTTTTCCGCTTCTTCCCCCTAACTGTGCCATTTATCTTCTCGCACGAGCAGGCAGGAAAAAATTGGGTTCAAATATGGGAGAGCAAAGAAAGTTGATAGACTTTATATTCTAGGGATTTTTGTTAATGAAAAAATGTCAAATACACACAAGAAATCTTAATTTTTAAGGAATTAAAAAGACATTGTGTACTTAACAATTTAATTATAGGTTTAAATACCTATTTTTAGTACTACTTCATACTTCTTTCCATTTGTTTTAACTATATTGTCTAGACAATTGCTATTTTCTTTCGGTGCACACTTGTATAGTGGGTTACTGCAGCGCACAGACAATAAAATAAACTGTGTCGAGCTGTGGAGACTCTTGTGAAAATCTCCTCCTCGGCATTTAAAATTATTCCAGCCAAAAGCAATTGTCACCACACGGACCACATGGCGGATGAGTGATGCGGGAGACCAAGCAAATCTCAACAAAGGATAAGGGAATGTTACAAAGCCTGCATCTCCTTTGGTTCTGTTTTATTGCCTTCTTCTGCCATGGGGATAAATCCTTATTTTATGAAAACAAATGAATTTTATGGCTCTCCCCACCCCCCGCACACACGTGGACCGAGATTCCTAAGTAGCTGCCCCATAAAACACCATCGACATGGCAAATTGAATTTGATTAACATTTTCACTCAGTGGAGAGGAGTTATGGAAGGGGCAGGATATGGAGTCTGTGAAAGGAAAACATTGGTAAACTCTGATGGTTATTATTATGGAGTGGCAGGTGGAATAATCGCAGATATTGATGGATTCAGAAAATGTGTGGGCGGCGCCGATTAAGTTTAGCTCACTTGTTGCTTAAGGCAGCTAAAAAGCTTTAATGAAAAAATACCGGGATAAAGCATATCAAATATTTTTTTATAGCGATATCCTGCCAACTTTACGAGTTTATAAAAAATATTATTCAGCTATTCGCCAAATATATGACACGCAAAAGTTATGGCCTTAAATAAAAATATGTAATTTTACCAGCTTAGCTTTTTTGTAAAATCTATATGGGTTTCCTTTTTTTATTGAAATATAAACAAGAAAGGACCTTAATTTGGGAAGTTTGAAGTTTATGTACCCTTTCAGTTTGCTATTGAATTATAGGATCGAATCGGAAATTGATCATAGCTTCATATATTATCATTCTTTGAATCAATATTTATTTTTATATAAAAAATTGTTCTACAAGTCAAAGTTTAAAAACCTCATAACTAAGCCAAAAATTTATTAATTTCAATTCGGAATGCTTTCCTATGTTATTTTTTAGTAGGGTTCTAAATCTGCATACTCATTTTAACATTTAAAAAAATTCTAATTTTTATCAAGTTTTTACAATTCTAACAATGCAGATAAAATGTGGAAAAAATTAAGAAAAAAAAAATTCCCCCGAAAGTGAGTTAGATCGACTCGCCTGTTCGTGCTGATCAAAAATATATATGATTTATAGGGTCGGAAATGACTCCTTTACTTCGTTTTAAGCTTCTGATTAAAATTAGAATTTTCTGCAAGCATAGCATACGTTGCGTATACGTAACGTGAAAACCCTTAAATTAAGTATACGCCATGTGTGTCTTAAGGGAAAATAGTTTCAAAGTTTATAAAGATAAGTAGTTTCAGTTAAAAAGCAAGTTAAGCAACAAAATAATAAGATCGCATCGAAAATCGATCAAATATTTGGTATTTATAAATATTATAATAATAAAATTTTAATTTTGATCAGGCATGGCAAGATAAAGTCGGCTTTCAATGCTGATAAGGAATATATATAATTTATAGGGTCGGAAATGAATCCTGACCCTGCAAGGATAGGTTTCGGAAAGGGGAAAAGTATATAAAATATTTAAGAAAAGAGCTTAAGCCTATATTCTTAGTCAACTAATCTAGAAAAAACATAAACTTATCCAAGTAAACTTAATGGCCTGCCATGTCATTGGAGTAAACATTGAAACCTAATTGATTGAGGAGCTTCCCAGAAACAAGTCCATCGAACTAGGACAACATTTTCCTGACTCATCGATTCCTTGGTTTCCGGCCAACGATATTTGTGGCCTCTCAATGAATTTTGAGTTGTCTTTGCCGCATGCACAACTACCCGGACATTAACCCATTTTGTTTGGGGCTTAGGGGCAGGCCACCCGCCACTTCCGGTGGTACGAGTAGCTACCACCCCCTCTTGGGGAACCTAAACGAAAATCAATAGGAAAACAAATAAGCCGAAGACGGAATTGAAATCGACTGCTGGAAATATGTTGGGGAAATGGGAAATGCTTTACGGGGAAAGTGGACTCACTGTTTGCATGCAGGATTTTCTGCCGCATTTATTCCAAGGATTTGCAGTTCAATCAACCTCAAGATGCAGACTCCTTCTCAATATTGGGGATGCAAAACTAAGACTTCATTTTCTATTTTGTTATAAATATTATTCCATTACTTGTTATATATTAACTTTGTATTTTTCCTAATAGTTTCGTTAATTGTAATATAAATCACCTTGGAAACCCTGCTAAATCTTTAATCAACTTACACATCCCTGGTCATTCAAGATTTTTAAATTCCATTTGATTTTTTCATCTCTCAATTTCTCGCTTTTTTATGCAGTTGACAGTCGTCACCTGAAGGAGTCCATTGAACGGGCCGAGTTCTCCTTGCAGCTGGAGCTATGGTTTGGGGAACAAAACGGCTCCAGCAGCCTCAATGGACACGGAGGCAATGGCGGCGGCGATGGGAGAATGGGCAGTTTCTCTGGCGGCAGCACCACACTGACACTGGCCTCCACCAGGAGTCTGCAGTTGAACTTTCATCCGGGACGCGGCCTACACTATCACCTGCCGGTGCTGTTCGACTATTTCCACCTGGCGGCCATCAGCGTGGGCATTCATGCCAGTCTCGTGGCCCTCCATCAGCCCTACATCAAGTGAGTATAAAGGAAACACTCAGAGAAAAGAAGAAGATTCTCTTCAGAAAGAGAGAAAGAATTTGAGAAGCTTTAGAAATCAAATAGGAAAGGTATTGCAAGGTGTTTAAAGAGTACATTTCTTGTACTTTAACCTCTAAAGAGTTCGTATTAATTTAATTTGCATTTCTGTGCTCTAAAGCATATTGTGCACTAATTCCTTATAGTGTAGCTAGGGGTTCGAGTGTCTGGCGTGATGCAAACTGGAGATGACAACATGATCTCTAATGTCAACGTTGATATAGTCATATTTTTCACAGTAAATTGAACGCAACGTGGGGGATGCATAAATCCAGGAAGGGGCCAGGAGTCCTCCACCTCGACCTCCTCTTGTGTCCTGTTGCGTGGGGACTGCAGCATCAGCGGAACACGACAGGACATAACAGGAGAGACGGGGACTACGTAGGCCAGTTACCCACACAAATCATTTCCAACTCATTAAAATTGCACACAGGCGACGAAGACCTCACCTCCTGCTCTTGCTCCTGCTGCCTGTGCATACAAAGAGCGCAGGATAAAAATGTCGAGGCATAAATTTTAATGACTCTCCCATTGCAATTGTCCTTTGCCTGCTGCTCCTGCTCCAGCTCCAGCTCCTGGAATGTTGCGACAAAAAAGTACACAAGCCAAGAACTAACAAGAATGAAGGAGGATCTCAAACTCAAACTCCTTGCAAAGCTAAATTTTGACTTCCAGCTAAGTTTTATATCCTCCTCACAAATTTTTTCTCAACGAAAGTTTTGCATCCTGCGCCTAATTCTTTAATCTGTTTTGTATTGCCAAAAGAAAAAAAGTTCTGCTTTGGAGCCCCCAAATCCTCCTCCTTGTCGTAGCAATTTGTAGTCCTCGTGCGGAGGGGAATCCTTTTCGAACCAAATACGAAACAGAATTTGAAATTGACTCGACTCTGCGACTCCCCGGCTCTTTCGAATGAATAAAATATCATCTCATCTCGGGCAGCAGCACCAGCAAGGAATCCCATGTTGACCTTGGCCTTTGGCCTGATGTGGATATTCATGCTGATTACACATCACCGAAGCGCCCCGGCGAAGCCGTAAATAGCCTGATTATCTCTCGGCATCGCAGCAGGATGAGGCAGGACCTCCAATCATGCCCAGAATCGGAGTCGGATTGGTTGCGGGGGGAGGGGCGCGTGAAACTTTAAAGTGTTTCTGGGATTAAATCGTTAGCGAATGATTTTCTTGGCTTTTGGGCCATGAAAAACTTTTCAGGTTTCCCGGGGCATGGAATAATAAAGCATTTCCTTTTTCCTTGTCAAAGTTTAACATTCGAAATGTCCTGGGAAATCCTCGTTTTAAAACTTTTTGTTGTATTCCATATAGTTTCTTTGAGGATTTTACTTAAGAATGAAAACAAATTAAAAATAATAATCTTTGTGCATGAGTTCACAATGAACTTAGTTCCTTTAATTAGTTTGTTTTCTTATAAAATACTTTAGAAATACTGTAAATTATTCCTTTCCAAATTCATCAATAAGTAGATGTTCCTTTTATAACTTTATATAATTATTTCTACTATATCTATTTTACATATATTTTGTAAATATGATACCTGGCATATAAGGACTACTATCCCTATTTCACCTATCATATCTTTATCACACTTAGATCTTCTTGAAAGAGATTCCATAGTTCAAAGTTAACCATGGTATCATTTATTATAATCTCCGATTCATTTATTTCATTTTTGCGCTCCAACGATATATATTTGGTAATGATACAATCCAAAATATATTCGTATTATCCATACCAATATATCACCCTTAAAAACGGAATCAACACCACAGGCGAAGCATGTTCTCGTACATGAAATTCTGGTAAGAAATCATCACAAATCTTCGTAAAGTTTCGTAACTTCGTAAACTGTATAAAACTCGTACTCAAATTCACTCGGTTCACGTAGATGGTGTAGTTTCTGTGGCCAGGAAAGCTTGCTATACATATATGTCTGTCCGAGTGTCTCTTTCTATATATTAGCCACATTTTATTTGTGTATAAATCTCTATGGTATATAGTAATTATTGGCTGCAAATCAGTGTTCACTTGTTCAGTCTGTAGATCACTTGTAAAATTTTCAAATTTAAAATTAAATTATTTTGAAGAAATAAGAGCTTATCAGGACTTTATTAAATATTAAAATAAACAAGTGAACACTTGAAGATCACCTCCACTGAAGAGCAACATATTTCGTATGCTTCCTACACATTAAAGTCTAATTCCTGATATTTTTGTGAAATGTTCTCCATTTTTTTCCAGTGCTCCTCGCAGCTCGAAGCCCTGGAGTGCCGGCAAGTTGAGCTGCCGGGGAAATACCTCGCCGGGTCCCCTGGAGGCGGTGTTCTTTGGACCCCAAATAGGTGGCACCACCAAGTGCAGCGGCGGTCCCGCCGGACGACTACTCCAGTCCCGGGCCATTCATCGGGAGATCTGCTGCCTGCTCCTGGGCGCCATAGAGCAGCTGAAGGCGACTCTAAATGAGTTTAGCACTGTGCTCCCGCCAAGCATCAACTCGCAGATCGGATCGCCGCCCCTGAGGGAGAACGATACAGGGGAGCGACTTCAGCTGCTGCTGGATCAGGCCAAGCAATTGGAGGCGGAGGAGGACTTTGCCATTCGTGCCAATTCCGACATTGCCCAGCTGTGTGCGGAGAGCATATTCTGGTGGCGCCGCGTGCTCCTGGCCTCCCGATCCTCCACGGCTGTGCACACGCTGCTGGCGCGAAAGCATCACATCCTGAGGGTGCGACGCTTCGCCGAGGGTTTCTTTGTGCTGGAACAACCGCGTCATGCGGCTGCCGCTGGATGTCAGGAGCAAGCCAATGGTTCACCATCGCCGGGTCACTGTCAGGGCTATGTGGCCATTGCAGAGCTGGCGCGAAGGAGCCGCTACCTACAGTCCCTGCCGCCGCTTCCCGTTCACTGTACGCCCATCGATGGAGACGCCTCCTCGCTGCCCCTCATCTTCGAAGATCGCTACGTGACACCGGGTAGCAGCTATGGACGAAGGCGCTCCGGCAGTGATACCCAGCTGGATGAATCGGTGTCTATTGGCGGTGGGGTGGGCAGCTGTCAGAAGAAGAAGGTGGATAAGACGCACTCGAGCAGCAGCCTCAACGGTATTAAAGACTGCCTGGCCTGCCACTTCGATTACGATTACCCGCAGACAAACGGCTCGGGTCCGGCTCATCCGCATGCCAAGTGCGTCGTCACACCGCGCTTCGCCTTGGGCGGTGAGGTACTCCAGGCCAGTCTGACCATAGCTCCCAGCAAGGAGCAGGCGCCGGCTCCTCCACCTCCCACAGCGGCTCTGCGACACAACCTCTCTCGGCACTCGGTCACCGGTCTACTGGAGGATCTCGATCTGGATTCCAGTGTTCCGGCGCGGCATAGCAAATCCCTGGACCAACTCGATGGCTGTGATGGATTGCCCACCAATCCGGTGCCACCAACCACCAACCACACGTTACCCCGCCTTCAGGCCGATGATCTGATGAGAAATATTTGTGAGTTCCGGCAGCGCTACGGGAAGTTCGATTACCTGCACGAGATCAAGCTGCTGAATCCTCCCAAGCATCAGCACAGCAACACTCAGCAACAGGGACAGCCGGCGCAGCAGGGTCAGCAATGCACCAATGGCTACAACTCACTTCCCAAGTCGATGGTGCCGCCAAGGAACTCATACCCGCCACCACCGCCCACGCAGCACACGACGATGCCTCGGAGTAGCTCCTCGCAGATACCGCGTGCCGTGGAGATTGCCCGCGTGAGGGTGTCGGACATCAAGGAGATGCTGCGCCAGGGCCAACTCAGGAAAGAGTCCAGCAGCTCCGAGAGCGACATGATGCAGAAGCTCCAGATGTTGAGCTCCAACAGTGTGCCCTTCCGACTCGAGGGAGCTAGCGGTGGCAATGGCAATGGAACGAGCAACAACAATACCACCAGCAGCGATCCCAACACCAGCGGATTCAGTGAATCCCTGCCCAATCTGGCTCCTCCGCCCGAATTCGATTCGGACTCGCAGTTGAGGCGTCAAAGGAGCAACTCCACCTCCTCGCTGAGCGAAGAGAGCGGCTGGGTGAGTAGCCGGAGAAGCTCTCTGGCCATCTCCAGTCCAGACACCATCACCAGCACGGCGGGTCTGAACAATCAACGGCAGCGGCACACTCAGCTCAACCTGGGCATGGGCATGGCCATGGAGACACGCCTGAACGGGGAACAGCTGCGCCTGCGCCTCCAGAAGGTACTGGAGCAGCAGCAGCTCCAGCAGCAGCATCCGCACAAGACGCGGAAGAGACAGGCGGCAACCTCCAGTCAAAGCAGAACGCCGGCCCGTCAGCCACCTGAGGTGCACAAGAAGGTGTCCTCGGTGACGGTGAATATCAAGAGGGAGCGCTCTCGCTTCCAGTTGGACAGACTGCGTCATCTGCCCAACGGAGAGTCCACGGAGGTGGAGGAGATGGAGCCGCCGCCGCGTAGGAATCGCCACAAGACTGCCGCCTCTACGGGAAAATCCAAGTCGGACTTTGACATCACCAGCCTAAAGGATATGCAGCCGCTGGACGCCGTCTGCCTGCCGCCACCTCAGCAGTTTCAAGACCAAGAACAGGAGCTGGCTTTGGTTGCCCTGGCTCCACCGCCGCCCGACGAATTCCGCGATCCGCCACCAGAGCCAGCACCCTCCGCAGCACCTCTCCCTGTTCCTTCTACCGTTGCCATTTCAGCTGCAGTTTCCCTTCCTGCCTCACTTCCTCCCAGTGCCAAAGCCAAGATCCAGGTGACCTGTCATCTGCCACCACCGCCGCTCAAGGAGCGCCAGCCGGTGGGTGCCATTGATAATCCAGTGTACCACATCTATGAGTCCTTGCGACCGATCTCCACGCCGGCCATCTTCACCAATAAGCCCGTACTGAAATCGCACAGCCTGGCGGAGCTGAAGAGGCCACAGAATCTCCCAAATCCTCTGAGCCATCAATGCAAGTCACATGCCATCAACGGCAGTAATGGCTTGGATGCCGAGCCGGACGAGAACAAAGAGAACTCCAATGGCCAGGTGCGGGTGGCCAAGCCACCGGGCAATCCCTCTGGGAAGCACAAGCGGAAGGGACAGGGCTCTGCCGCTGTGCAGGAGGCACCGCCCAGCATCTCGCTGCTCGAGTTCGAGAAGTACCGCGAGGAGTTCCGCAAGCAGATCAAGTACCAGGGCAGCATATACTCGGACTACGTCCAGCTGGCCTCCGAGCTTCCCTATTTCTACATCAGCGATGAGTACCGCGCCTTCTCCCCCAACGGCATGCATCTGGTCATCTGCGTCCACGGGTTGGATGGCAACTCGGCGGATTTGAGGCTGGTGCGTACTTACCTGGAGCTGGGACTGCCAGGAGTGAACCTAGAGTTTCTCATGTCGGAACGGAACCAGGGAGACACCTTCTCTGACTTTGACACCATGACTGATCGGTGAGTTTGAATTTTGAGTTATTGGAATATCTAATCTCCTCTTTGGGTTTCCCTTTAGGCTGGTAACCGAGATACTCTACCATATCGATAGCTGCGCTCTGAATCCAGTTCGCATCTCATTTGTGGCCCATTCCCTGGGCACGATTATTGTGAGGAGCGCCTTGGCCAGGCCCCAGATGCGTCCTCTGTTGCCGCGTCTGCACACCTTCCTCTCGCTCTCGGGTCCGCACTTGGGTACTCTCTACAATACCAGTGGACTGGTTAATATGGGTAAGGATACGAGTCCAGGAGCCTCAAGGATCCATTCTTAATTTGTAATCCCCTTCAGGCATGTGGTTCATGCAAAAGTGGAAGAAATCCGGTTCCCTACTGCAGCTCTGCATGCGGGACACCACCGATATGCGAAACAGTTTCCTGTATAGGCTCAGCCAAAGGAGCACCCTGCATCACTTTAAGAATATCCTGCTCTGCGGCTCCAGCCAGGATCGTTATGTGCCAGCGCATTCCGCCAGACTAGAGCTATGCAAGGCGGCCATGCGGGATAGCTCCACGTTGGGCACCATTTACAGGTGATACTTGTTTAAATGTTGCCTAGAAGACAATTTATTATAAATACCTCTCATATTTATATTCCAGGGAAATGGTTCACAATGTCATAGCCCCAATTTTAGCCCGGCCGGAACTGACTTTGGCCCGCTTCGATGTCCATCACGCTTGCCCCATACGGCTAATACACTAATTGGTCGAGCGGCTCACATAGCTGTCCTGGACTCGGAGTTATTTATTGAGAAATTTATGCTAATCGCTGGCCTCAAGTACTTCAGTTAACCAGATCAAAAGCGTCTCAAGGAACCAAAATTACTGCTGACTTTTTAAATGATCTTTAGTAGAGTCCTATAGAGTTCATCGAAAGTATAGTACATGCTCGAAAGGGTCAATATCACATTTAGTAGGTTAATCCCTTGATGAAATCCTTATTTAATGCTGATTTATTTTAATCTTTATATATGTTTTACTCAAAATATTTGACAAAGTTCCTAATAACATTTATTTACTTAGTTTTAAACTCAGAACTGTATTCTTTGTTGTGCCACTTTTAATTTATTTATGTTTATTAATCTTCAGTTAATTTTAAACAACTTAAAACCCTTCCCAGCCTGTACTTTACTCCTACATTAACCTAATATAAAGAACTAGTTAAAAAACAGGGTACTCATTAATTAAAGTCAGAACAAGAACCAGTGTCATCTGAGCCGCCAAACTGATTCCCATACAACCGAGAATTGGGACAAGGAATTTATTAAAGCAAATCGTTAGACTTGAATTTTTTACCAATGCAACTCTTTTGTAGGGAATTGATATTCACTCACACAAAACAACATACGAACAAATCAAAAAACCAAAGAATGTTTAATCAAAAACCTATAACCAAAATGGCGGCATAACTGTTGAAAACGTGTTACCGATACTTACATTTTATAGCTATAAGAGTTGATTGCATACGAAACCTAAAAAACAGAAGCCAAAGACATCATAAGTAGTGTTAAATTCAAGTTCAAAACTATACACGAGACTTTTTCGAAACGTTTGAATTGCGAAAGGAAAGTGAACGGAAACGGAAATCGAAACGAAGGCGGAAATAAAAACGATCATGTTGAGTATACGTAACTAACAATAGTAGTTGAGAACGGGGCGAGGCAAGGTTGCATTTGATTAAATTAGCAGAATAGTATTAGCAATTTTTAAGACTAATCAAGAAACAAAATCGCAGAGACGACAAAATGGTTTTTTCCAAATCTTTTTACTGCTAGACAAAAAGAGAACAAATTTAGAAGAACTAGAGTTAGAGGTAGAGGTAGAGTTTGAACTAGTCAAGTTGTTGGTAGCTGGGTGCGTTTTAGGAAGAGCGTCAATTAAGTTAAGGGGAGGTGTAGAGGATTATTTGCAGGCTTAGGTTTTTCATTGGGAACAAGATTGATGCACGTGTAAAGCAGTTAGGACGAAACTTTTGCAAATTCTTAGCCTAGTCTTAGTCTATAACTCTGTCGTTTCTGAGCTTTTTCAAATCGTTGTTGTGAACTAATACTGTTTGTGACCCTACCAGAAATTGCATTCTTCGTGTGTATGTGTGTAACCGTCCTAAATGTAACGACTTTATCAACTTTGCTAACGCAACAACCAATATTTGTCTAAGTGGTTTTTAAAATGGTTTGTGTGCGTAAAAAAGAACTTTGAATGTGTATTTTGAAATGTTTCGTACGGCACTACGATTTAATAAATATATTCCATCAAAATTGTGCAAAAGATTCCCCTCAGTTGCAATTTAAATGTTTTCTTTTCGAATAAACTATGCTAAAATTGAATTTTAGTGGAACATACAAATAGTTTTTATTTATTTAAGTGGGATATAATGCTTTGAAATGAATTTATTTGTTTTAATAATTTAAACATGCCTGCAAGTGAATAAAGAATAATTTACAAAAGATTGTTCCATTTTTATAACCTAGCAGAGTATTTTAATAAAGTCAGAAGCTTCCAACGCAGTGAAGGTGCTATTTCCGGCTCACATATCATTAATATTCTTCACACCAACGAGAAAAGAAAAACTATACGAATAAAAACCATTTTTCGCTTAGTTATATCGATTTTGCATTTGTCTCTTAAACTGAAAGGATGTTCAAACTTCCGGAAGTTGTATTATTTTCATTTAAAAATACGTTGGCGCGCAGCAATCGGGGCATTTTTCCTAGTGGTGGAATTTGTTTTGAAAATGACGAAACAAAATTAATCGATAACATCGACATTGAAATCGATTCACTTCCATCTCTCCGAATAATTCGACTTTATTTATCTTTTCGCACAAAAAAAATCAAAACAAAGACCAACCAGTGCCAAAGATTCCCAACCAGAGAACAGCCCCCGATCAGAGTACTCTCCCTTCAAAATGGCAACGGCTGCACGACCTCCCTCGCTGCGTCTGGGGCAGCAGGACCTTAAGTGCCGCACGGGATGCGGATTCTATGGAACTCCCCAGAATGACGGCCTCTGTTCGATGTGCTTCCGAGAAAAGTTCAACGATAAGCAACGGAAGCTGAGGCGTAAGTCCCGCTAGCGGTTTTTCCCAACCCTCAGTCATGAAGTGGACCTTTGCAGAGAAGGCAGGCGAAACAGCGGGCCTGGCACCCGGCCACGCCCCTGGTTCCGCGGGCGGATCCACAGAGCGGAGATCCCCACAGCATGGTCACCACGGTCACGGGCGAGTGGAGCAGCAGCCAAGGAAGCAGGAAGCAGCAGAAACCTCAGGCACACTGCAGAAGAAGAAGTTCACAGCAGTTTTGCAGAAAACCCTGCAGGCGGGCGCCCAGAAAAGTAAGGCGGAAAGCCTTCGGTTCGAACTATTTATTTATTTACGGTATTCATAGTCACCCAGCAGCGCAGCCCTGTGCCGGATCCCACAGAGGGTCAGTTCCTGCTGCAGCTGCGCCAGCTCCGCATTCCCGACGATGGAAAACGAAAACTTAAACTGAGATCCAGCGCTTGGACAGCGAAATACGCAAGTATATCACCGGTAACAGTCCCAAGAACGTGGACGAGCTGTCGGATGCCGTTCAGAATGCCTACACCAAGGTCTCGATATCGTGCACAACGATCCCAGCTTTGAGATTGCCACCAACGAGGATCGCGATAGTGCCATAGACTTCTTTGAGAAGGTGGTGATGACGCAGAACCACAAGTGAGTCATCTGCAAGGCAGATATTACTGCCACAAGAAAGTTCGCTTATCTCTAAGCGGGGATACACAATATCTTGCAGATTCCTCTTCAGTCCGTACTTCACCGAGGATGAGGACAGCGATGTGAAGGTTCAGAAGCGCATACGCCAGCTGAGCTGGATCACTGCCAAGCATCTGGACTGCAGCATCGACGAGGTCAATGCGGAGGCCAGGGATCTGGTGTACAATGCCATTTCAGAGCTGGTCGGCATTGATTCGTATTACTCGCCCCAGGAGAAGCTTCAGTGCACCGTGCGTTGTTGCCGGCACATCTTCGAGCTGCTGAAGCGGGCAACGGGAGGTCCGGCCAGTGCCGATGACTTCCTGCCCGCATTGATCTTTGTGGTGCTTAAGGCAAATCCCGTTCGCCTGCACAGCAACATAATTTTGTGACGCGCTTCACGAACGCCTCGCGGGTGATGAGCGGCGAGGGAGGCTACTATTTCACCAATCTCTGTTCGGCCATTGCCTTTATCGAGAATCTGAATGGCGAGAGTCTGGGCATCAGCAGTGAGGAGTTCGGGGCGTTGATGTCGGGCCAGCAACCTTACAGTACGCCGTGGGAAAGTGCTCTTCTGGCCTGCGAAAGCCTGCACCTGATTTCGGAGAACATGAAACGGATGGAGGGGCTGCAGAAGAGGAACGCCTTAATAAGCTCAGGCATCGCTTCCTTCGAGAAGGAACTAATCGAGTTCCAAAGAGAGGTGACCGAGCGGGTGGACACCGTGATAGCCAAGGCGCCGCTTAACCTGCTACCCATCAAAACGCCTGCCTTTCTCATTGGGCAAGCCCGAGCACATCTCGTCAGCGAAAACGAGGCGGGACATTATCAAGCTAATGTGCTGAGTGCCGGCGGTTCATTGAACTCCAATCTTTGACAGCAGCTACTAGCTTGGCAAAGCCTTCAATAGCGCCGGAGGATTCTGGTTTATCTCTGAAGGACACCAGTATTGGTTCCGTCGGCCGCCTGTCGCCGCTTCAACAGAATCTACAGGCAGCCGACAACCTCTTTGCTTCACCAATGTTCAATTATGTGGCCTTTGATGCCGTGTCCCTGTTGGAGGAACCCGTGACAGAAAGCAAAGACGGAGATGTCCTGATGCTGGGCTCCGAGTTCCAAGGCGGCCTGACCAACATCAACTACGACTTTGATCTGTCGGATCAGAGTGGGGAGAATAGCACTGCGGACGAGTCCAAGTTGAATCTTGACGAATTCGATCCTTTGGTTCAAAAGAGCAGCCCCGTTACCCAGAAGCCTCCGGCACTCCCGGAAACCCTAGTCTGTTGGACAGCACCACGGATAGCTTGATAGACAGCGAAGTGCCGGGCACAGCTGTCCTGCTCCCATCGCCGTTAAAGCCCGAGGTGGCCAACTATCGGGGTTTCTCCAACTTTGATATTCCCAGCATATCCTGCAACACGGGCGACTTTAGTTCGCTGGGCCATGACGGAGTCGAGGAGCCCAAATAATTAGTAAATAAATAAGTCCCTTCTGGTCCCTGATCCCTGATTCCTCCCTGCACGTACAACTGTTGTAAATAGAGAAAAATAATATATATCTTGTAGTTAGCCCGACGCTTCACATCTAAACACTTTCACATATTTATTTAACTTTTAGCTGTATGGCAAGGACGTTTAATAAAAGCAATTGAAAACCTAATAATTGTTGCTTTTAAAGTGGAAAACTGGAAGTTTATATACCTTTCAGTTTTCAATTGAGTTAAAGAATCGAATCAGAACCTAAGTTTATAATATGCGAAATTTTAACAACAAATTTAAATTTAAAAATCTTATAACTAAGCCAAAAAGGCTTTAACTTTAATTGGAAATGACTTCTGTTAGTTTTTAGTAGTTTAATAAATCTGCATACTCAATATAAAACTTAAAAAATTAAAATTTTTGAGCATTTTTGAAAAATTAAATTAATTAATTAATTTTGAAAATTATATAATTAAAATTAAAGAATATATATGATTTATAGGGTCGGAAATGACTCATTCACAGCGTTAGAAGCTTCTGACTGAAATGATCACACCCTGCAAATAAACAAGACTATTATAATAAATGTTTTAATTCGAATAATAAAAAATATTAATATTTACACAAATAACATAATTAAATAATAAATAGAGTTCTTTTTATACAAATAATACTTCGGGAATAATCAACATGATAATAAAGGAACTAAAAGTGTAAACGGATTTTTAAGGTTTTTTTTTCATTTTTTAATATTATTACAATTTTACCTAAAATACCAAGGTAAATATTTATATTTTAACTCATTAAAACGTTCTTTTATCAAAATAAGAAATGACAAACATTTGAAAAGTTGTTTAGTATTTTTATGCTTCATTCCAATAAACTAGGGCTGTCAAATAAACATAATTATATCGATATTTTTTAGGAATAAATTATCGTGCTTTTTTTATAATCTAAGAGCCAATTAAAGAAATTAAATCACATTATTAATTTTGCTTAAGGTAAGTTAATCACATTGTTTCCATTACATAAAATTAAAAAGCGTTCTAAAATAATTTCTAGATAAACATTTTTCCTGCCAAAAAAATAAAAATAAAATAATATTAAAATGATTATATTATAATCTGAAAATATTAGTTATTTTTGTTACTTCTTGAAAATATTTTTAATACAGACATTTTTTAAATATCTGACAACCCTACGATGTACCCGAGAGTTTGTTGCTTCTCTCATATGTTGCCAGAACGAATCTCGTTCAATCTCCGCCAGACAGTCTCATTTTTTGCCTTGAACCGGACGGATCCAATAAGCCGGAGAAATGTCGAATAACAAAACCCGGATGGTGCTGCTACTTGTTGTGGCCATCGTCGGCGCGGCAATTGCCTCCAGCATTCCGGACGATTTGGCCCACAATCCCCTTGAATACGATTCACTCCACAACAAACACTTCGACGGCGGCGAGCACAATTCCCAGTTCGACCACGAGGCCTTCCTGGGCCCCGATGAGTCCAAGAAGTTCGATGGCCTTACGCCCGAGGAGAGCAGGCGTCGGTTGGGCCTGATTGTGGACCGCATCGATGAGAATAAGGATGGGCTTATCAATCTGTCGGAGCTCAAGAACTGGATCGCCTACACCCAGCGGCGGTACATCGAGGAGGATGTGAACCGCGTTTGGAAACGTAACAATCCGGATAACAACAAAACCATAAATTGGGAGACTTACCAGAAGGCCGTTTACGGTTTCTTGGAGGATTTGAGCCCCGAAGAGCAGGAAGAGGAGGATAATGGTGGGTACTGGGGGGATTACCTCAAGGGAACCTGGGTCTCTTGTGATTTTAATGGTTTAAAAAGCCAGATCTTGTAGTTAAAATAAGTTTTATATGATCTTCTATGTCACTTATAATAATTTTAGTTATATTACAATATTCTTTAGTATTTGATGATTTTTAATTTAATTTTTAAAGGTGTCAGCTACAAAAACATTCTAAAACGTGATCGTTTCCGCTGGTCGACGGCTGACAAGGACTTGGATGATTGTCTCACCAAGGAGGAGTTCACTGCCTTTCTGCATCCCGAAGATCATCCCTCAATGAAGGATCTGGTGCTGCACGAGACATTCAGTGATTTGGACAAGGACAAGGATGGGAAGATCTCTGTGGATGAGTATATTGGAGACATGTTCCGACCCTCCAGTGAGGATGATGAAGAGCCCGAGTGGGTGGCCAATGAGCGTGAGGCCTTCTCACTGCATCGCGATATCGACAACGATGGCTATTTGAATGAGGAGGAGGTGAAGCTGTGGATCACGCCCCAGGACTTTGATCACTCGGAGACTGAGGCCAAGCATCTGATCTTTGAGGCTGATGTCGATCATGACGAGCAGCTGACCAAGGCGGAAGTTCTGGACAAATACGATGTCTTCGTAGGCTCCCAGGCCACCGATTTCGGAGAGGCCCTTGCCCGTCACGACGAGTTCTAGGGCCTAGAGATTAAGATTGATTAAGAATGATCATACATCTGTATGTAAGAATCTCCCACTTCGAATGCCAAATATCTTGTAAAACTTCCCTAGACGATAAGACGATTGAGAGTACATTATACAATGACATGAATGCGAGGATCCGACTAATTGATTTGATGTGATTTGTTTAATTGAAAGGCGTCCACGTCAGCTCTTGTGGAGCATCGACAGCCACGTCACTGGAACGGACGCACACACAGTCACACACTAGCATGACCCCTGCCCCCATTTTTCCCGGTCCTCGCCATAGATACGCCACCGCATTTGCCTGTGTAACATACATACATAAACATAAATGATTTTCGCTGTTGCCTCGATTCACTTCCAGCTGCGAGAACATTCCATGACCATATGTGTGAGCGAAATGAGAGAGTGCACTGGAAATAAATGTGGAAAAGGTCAAAGAAAGGAAAATTGTAAATAAATCCTTTGGATCGTAGTCAAAAATTTTACTTAAAATAAAAGGCGTGAGGCATTCATAAAATATTTGACACCTGATGTTAATTTATATAAATCTAGAAAATATCCTAGAGAAATATATTATGTATAAAAAATTATTATAGATAAACCAGTCATCACAGTCCCCATAAAGTTACCCAATTTTTTTAAAGTGCATTAGAACAAGATAGGGGCGACAGCAATCGGTTACTTTGTTTTAAGCTGATTTTGATTATTTTGGGTTCTCGACTTTCGCCGAGATAAGCAAATAATTCGTTTTTCGGCTGTTGATAAGTCTGATGTCCCCTTTTTTGGTTAGTACAGTGAACACTCGCAAGTGATTTCAGTCATTTTCAGCCAGATGGCGGATGACTGATATATTCAGAAGGCGTAAACAAATGATGTGTGTGTGGGTTCATTTGTGCAGATCTTGGAAGAGAAGGGAGAACATATAGAGATAGCTTCGATCTCTGAGAACGTTTCCAAGCGAAACTAGTTTTATGCTTTTTTTCATTCATATTTCAATAATGACCTCTATCTCTTGATATTTAAAAAAAAAAAACGGTAGATCATTAATCAGTTTTTGGGCAATAGCAATAAAACCTGTTAGAAAATGCGAATAAAAACATAAGATCTTTTAAGTTAAAAGTATTTTGGTAACTAAAATCTAAGGAAAGTAAAGTATGCTGCTAAGAGGTACTTTTCCATTATTTACACCAGTTTAGAAAACTTTACATAGTAACATAAATAATTATAATACCTGTTTTCATAATAAAACAAATTAAAACTCTTTTTTGTATGCTTTATTGATTTCCATTGAAATAGACACATTTATATAATTATCTTGGTTTCGTTCTTGTTTTTGTTGCTGTTGATTTTTGTTTCTTGAATATCTGTTTTCAGTTTGCTTTTAAAATACAAAGTATTCAAAGTGTTTCTCAGTTTGATGCCTTTAATTTTCAGTACATAGTATACGAAGGACTTTTCATCTTATACATACTTGTATATAGAATATATGTATATATATATTGATAGTTCCTGGATCTAGCAAAAGTGTTTAAAAAGTTGTTACACATCCAACAACATCTAAATTCAAGTATGTAATAATGTAAGTGTAATTGCAATGGAACGTTTACTTTACTGACTCTCAATATCATCAATATCAATATCCTGGATCCTCAGCTAGAGGACCTACCAATCAACAGGCGACATCTATGCTTTATGCTCTTTTTATGCGGCTAATTCGTCTCTCCTTATGCTCTCCTCCTTTTTTTTGTAGGTTTTTCATTTGTTTTTTGTTTTTCTTTTGGTTTTACCTCAGTTTTACAACATTAATTTTAATTACAAAAAGTTATTAAATAATACAAAGTACAGTTAGAGTTTACAGTTTACGGATCTCCCATTGGGTTCTCCATGATTTTCTTTTATCTAGAAACATCTCGCGACAACTTTTAGTTCAAATTAATGCACACAGGGAAACAGAATTATGGATTATGAATTATAGAACACACACAGAACGAATTTGGAACGGGAAACGGAAACAAAAGCAAGAGGATGAATGGGTTGGCGGGGGATCCCAGCAGGGATCCATCTCACAAATTAGTGGCAAAGAAGTGTAACAAAGAAACTACGGTTTAGCCAGATCGCAGACTATCTGGCCAACGCTTAGGTTACATAATTGTTTATCGTTAATAATATTACGTTTAAATAGAATCCAGCGGGAGGATCTCTTTCCTTCTCTCTCTTTCTATCGATCGCTCTATCTCTTTTAGAGCAGGGCGCACTTGCGCTTGGACTTGGGCTGTAGGACCGGGCACAAGACCGACCGAATGGCCTCATCAAACACCGTCTTCAGGCCCTTTTGCGTCAACGCCGAGCACTCCAGATACTTGACCGCACCGATCTCCTTGGCCATGGCCAGACCCTGCGGGTAAGTGATCGGCGCCAGCTTCTTGTCGCGCAGCTTCTCGATCGTGTTCTTGTCGTCGCGCAAATCCAGCTTGGTGCCCACAAGGATGATGGGCGTGCTGGGGCAGTGGTGACGCACCTCCGGATACCATTTGGCCCGCACGTTCTCGAACGAGGCCGGATTCACCAGCGAAAAGCAGATGAGGAAGACATCGGTCTGCGGATACGACAGTGGTCGGAGGCGGTCATAGTCCTCCTGTCCAGCGGTATCCCATAGTCCCAGATTAATAGGCTTCGCGTCCACCATCACGTTGGCGGAGTAGTTGTCAAAAACAGTGGGGATATATTCCCCGGGAAAGGCATTGGTCGTATAGCTGATCAGCAGGCACGTCTTTCCCACGGCTCCATCGCCCACCACGACGCACTTGATCGCCTGCATGGTGTGTGTCTAGTTCTTAGTTGTTGCCCCGGACTGGAGTGGACTCTGTGGTAGGAGTGGAGTGCTTTGTGCGAGATTGAAGATTGTGCGGTGACGGCGGTGGCGGCGGGGTGGTGCTGCAGGGGGTGCTGATGGCTGGTCTGCTGGCAGTTGTCGGTTCTTTTTGGGCGGCGGCGACGGCGGAGGGCTGTTGCTTTCGCGGCGGCCGTTGTCCGTGTTATTCTCGTCGTTCCGGACTCGTTTTCAGTGCCCTTTTGGTCCTCGGGGACGCCTTGTGATAGCGCCTTGCGTTTCGGGCACTTTAAATCGCGTTTTGTGCGTTGAATTCCCTAATTTTTTCTTTAATTTCTGTAAATTTTCTGTGTACTGCAGTGTGACCGCGGCTGGACTGTTCAAAAATACCATCCGGCGTTCTAAAAATATACCGTTTGCATCGTGGTATATACCAATAAGATAGCGCTGAATTCTGCTGAAACTTACCTAAACCTCGTTTGTTTTTAAAATTGTGAACCATCAAAAGTTTATTTTTTAAACATTGTTGCCTTTCCATAGTATAATTCGAATACTCTTAATAAATAACAGCATAATAGAATATTTGTAATAGTTCAAAATATAGTTTCTGATTACATATTCTTCTTACAAGTAATAAATTAAAAAAACAAGAAACATTTATATATTCCAAGATATGAGCAATTAATAAATTTAATAATTATATCCCGAAAATTTCCCTCTTTTGGTATTTATATTGAAGCTCAGTATTTTTAGTGGTTTAAAGCAGAAAAGTCTACCTGGTCACTCTACGGCACCCATTAGCAATTTCGAAAATTGTAATTTATTTGCTTCCAATTAGCTGAGGCATAAACGTTGCGCCACCTGTCCATCGCCCTTCCAGAATGTCTGACGTGTACATCGTGTCCGCCGCCCGCACCCCCATAGGTGATGATATCCAGCAGCCAACAGTAGCCGACCTAAACGTGTGCGTTTGATATCCAAATTCCAATTGGTAACTTTCTCTTTCTGTTTATCCTAATCAAAATCAACAGGTAGCTTCAATGGAACGCTTTCTAAACTCAAGGCCTCTGATCTGGGCAGCGTGGTGATCCAGGAGGTGCTCCGAAGAGCCAATGTGGAGGGACAGCAGGTCAGCGAGGTGATTCTCGGCCAGGTATTGTCCAAATATTTGCATTTCTACTTGTGGGTTCTTAGCAACTTTCCATTCTCTTTGTTATGTAAATCTCGCCAGGCGCTTTGTGCGGGCCAGGGTCAGAATCCGGCACGGCAGGCTTCACTCAAGGCGGGTCTGCCCATCCAGGTGCCAGCCTATGGCATTAATTTGCTCTGTGGATCGGGTTTGAAGTGGGTTCTTTAACGAAAGAAAATACAACATGGAATTCCTGCTGATTACGGGTCTATTATTATTTTCCAGAACTGTTGCCTTGGGCTATCAGGCCATCCGCTCAGGCGATGCAAAGTCGTGGTGGCAGGTGGACAGGAGAGCATGTCTCTAGCTCCACACGTAATACACTTGCGACAGGGCGTTAAAATGGGACCCGGCACACTGGTGGACACAATGCTTAACGACGGTCTCACCGACGCCATGGAGAACATACACATGGGCGTCACAGCCGAGAATCTTGCAGAGCAATACCAGATCAGTCGGGAGGCTCAGGATGCCTATGCCGTTCAGTCACAAAATCGTGCGGAGGAGGCCCAGAAAAATGGCTACTTCGATAAGGAGATTGTACCCGTGGAGATCAAGGATCGCAAGGGCACTCAGATCTTCGACAAGGATGAGTACATCAAGGTCGGCAGTACCATCGAGGGAATCCAAAAGCTACGTGCGGCCTTCAAAGATGTGAGTTTGACGATTAGTTATGGTAATTTAAAAAGACGCAATAACTATTTTATCACTTATTTGCTTAGGGCGGTTCCGTTACCGCTGGCAATGCCTCCGGTGTTAACGATTCCGCTGCCGCAGTGCTGCTTATGTCGGGCGATGAAGTGACCAAGCAGGGTTTGAAGCCGCTGGCCAAGATTGTGGGCTGGACGCAGACCGGCATTGAACCGAAGGTGATGGGCTTAGGACCAGTTACAGCCGTTGAAGCTTTGGTATTTAAAGGAGACCTTAATTGCTGTACAGATAATTAAGATTATCCCTTCGTTTAGCTTACCAAAATAGGTTGGACACGCGAAGAAGTAGATCTTTACGAGCTTAACGAAGCTTTCGCCGCCCAATCCCTGGCTGTGCTGCAGGACCTCAAGCTGGACGCCAGCAAAGTCAATGTAAATGGCGGTGCAATTGCCTTGGGCCATCCAATTGGTGCTTCAGGCGCCCGTGTCCTGGTCACGCTTTTGTACGCTCTAGAGCGTACAGGTGGAAGTAAGGGTATCGCCTCCCTGTGCATTGGCGGTGGCATGGGCATCGCCCTGGCCGTAGAACGCGTCAACTAAGCCCACTCATGGCCATATTTATTATTTTCCCGTCTCCCTTAAGTGTACAGTTGCAAAGTAGTATTGCATTTTTTGATCGCGTAGTATTTCCAAGTATGAATATGGTGTACACCGAACCCAAGTCACAAAGTCTACTCAATTAAAGCAATTTAGAAACGTTCAGGTTTCCTGTGTTTTATCTGGAACTGGGCACTTGAAAAACTTATTTGAACTGACATCCAAGTGCCTTAATTGGCAGAGTAAGTAAAATTTGCACAAATTACGTCAGCCCAGTTGCAGTTTTATTTATAGAAGAATTCTGATGATGCACAACCCATTTTATTTGCTTTTCATTTTAGTTTATACAAGTCAATATTTTGTGTAACATGTGAAGTAAATTATCGTTTACAGTCCGTTACGCACGTCAAAACTTTAAAATTTAAAACAAATACAGGAAATTTCTTGAAAGCCTCTTGATAAAAAATTATCTAAACTATACATGTTGGTCAACATTTTAATACCCTTTTAGAGTAATATAATTTTAGTCAGAAGCTTAAAACGCTATGAAGGAGTCATTTTCGACCCTATAAATCATATATATTCTTAATCAGCATCAACAGCTGAGTCGTTCTAGCTATCTGCTGTCAAAATATAAATTTTCAAAACAATTTTAAATCTTTTAAGGGGTGACATTGTTAAAATTTTCAAAAATGGTCAATAGTTTTAATTCTTTTAAATTTGAAATTGAGTATTTAAAACTAGTACAGAACGGCTTTCCAAATTGAAATTAATGCATTTTTGGCATAGTTATGTTTTTTTTAGCTATGATTTGCCATACAAAATCTCGATAAATATTGATTAGAAAAATTCAACATTTTAGCTAAGTATGATCGATCCCTATAATTCATCTTCAAACTGCTAGGATATATAAACTTCGGCTACCCGAAGTTAGTTTCCTTTCTTGTTTTGGACTACATTACACAATACTAGGAGGCATCAATTTTAAATAATTCTAGTATATAATTAAAATTTTAGCTATCAAAACTATTAATCGTAGTTAATACAGATTATAAATACAGAAAATAAATTTGACTAATGCTGAATGAAAAGATTTTTCTAAAACAAATAATGAATAAAAGCAGTGTTTCTTAATTTCGTAACTTGTGCAAACACATTTATCGGGTGTTAGTTCGGACTTTGGAATAAGACCTCGTAAAGGTAACAAACCGGTAGACGTGAGAAGATACTGTAAAATTATAATTTTGTGTGATTACATGGTCTTTACGGGCATATAACATTTTAAAAAAGGTCTGCGAACAAAATGCTATGATAAATCCTGAAATTTGAATTTAAATGTATAATAATTTGTTATTCTTAATCTCAACGCCTTAAAGCTATGACCTGCACTTTATATGCCAATTGAATTGTTCAGGAAATCGCGCTGTTTATTGCTATTATTAAATACAATTCGTTTGTACCCAAGAATTTTGAATGCAATTTTCCAGCTGAAAGAAGCGTTATCGGATTAACTGCGCCACGAGTTCACAGGTCGTTTATTGTCTCCAGGAAGATGATAAATAGCCTCTCGCCTCCACCGTTACCGTGAGCAGCTCTTCAGGTGCAGCGCTTCCAGCTCCTTGGGCAGCCGTGGACTGAAACCGTACGGATTGGTGCAGATAATTCTCTTTTCCGGCGATGTTTGCGCTACTTGCTCCACCGATGGCACACACAACTGGGCGTAGGTGGTAATGAAGCTTGACCACAGTGTCGGCGTGCAGCCCAGGGCGAAGTACGAGCCCCATTTCTGGGAGTCCAATTCGGCGACATACGGATACTTACCGTCCTCCAGAAGCAACTCCTCGGAAATTGCCACGGCATCGAAGTCGCGATGTTTGACTGGCGTATAAACATCCTGAACAATGTTATCGCCGAAGTAGAGCGCTTGGCATCACCCGGCTCTTTATGGAGGAGCCTGGCCATAGCCGCGTGCAGCTGGTGCCATTGCCTTGGGAGTAGACCTCGCCCACCCTTACTTCCGTCGCCTCCGTGGGCAGTTCCTCCAATTTCTGCACATCCACCTGCATGAAGGGCCGCTCACTGGTGAAGAAGCCCGGCTTCTTAGCGTACGTCACAACAAAATCAAAGTGCTGCCGCCAATCCTTTCCCAGAGCCTGCGTGGCCGTTAGATTGGCAAAGTCCACATTAGAGCCGGTGAGCAGAAAAAGCTTCTTGCCCGCTTGCCGCAGCTCCTGCAGCCACTTCAGCACTCTGGCGTCCGTTCGGAGAATGAATCTCTCGGGCTCTGCTCGCATGCTCTTGAAGTACGAGCTCTTATCATTTGCGAAGTGCTCCCGGCTGTAGATGTTCATCAAGCCTGCCTGCACATCCTGCCAGACTTGGTACTCCTCGCCAGGTGATGGTTTCCTTTCCTTGTCCACCTGATCCACGGCTTGGGCGAAGACCAACGCACTGGGCATATCGAAGTAATCCAGCAAGGAGCGCATTTGCGTTGAGGCAGCGCCATTCCACGTGGACAGCGGATCCTTGTGGAAGGCACTGGTCACGTCCCACTTGCGCTCTGGCCCGTAGATATCAAGGATTTCCGCGTCGCTCAGCAGCCGAGTGCCGTGAGCCGCCCGCAGGATCTGTGCATCATTGCTCAGCTTTAGGACATTGCCGCGCGGCCCATCCAGAAACAAACCCTTTTGTAGGAAGTCCAGATCTAGCGGCAAGTCTAGAAGCTCTTTCTTGTAGCCCTTCTGCTCCACCAGGAACTCCTTGAGTACCCGATAGATCAAGGCTGACATCTCGTGCAAATTGTAGCGTAGCAGAGTGCCATCAAGGTCGAAGCCCACGATGTCGTAGTCATTCAGGATCAGCTCCTTGCAGTAGGAAGTCATAATGGTGCTGGCGGAGTATCTCGAATCGTTCGCGGCCGAATAGTGAAAATTCCTGCGGGTCTGCTGCTGCTGACCGTGTATTGCTTCACGTGTTGCTGCCGGTACTGCTCGGCTCAGTCCCAGTGGCATTGAATTGAGCGCCAATTCTCGTACATTACGTAACTGGTGCGAAACATCTGTTTGCCTTTGTTTGTGTACGTTTGTTTTTGTTGATGTGGCAAGGCGAAGGGCAGGGGCGGAGGCGCAGGCTGAGGGAACGGCCAAGGCAACGGAGACAGCGGCGGAGGCGGCGCCCAAGGAGGCCGTTCTGCCCAGGGCCAGCATCTTATCTTATCGGCTAGCACATCTCCCGGACACGAATCGCGTTCTAAATTTAAAATTAAACCGAATTTCACTATCTTTCAGGTGGTTTTGTCAACACCATTTTTTACGTCTATCATATTTTTTCCCGTCGATTTCGTCTGCCAGTGTTGCCAGACTTCGGATTTGGTGCTGCGATGTGACATGGATTAGAGCTAGAAAAAGCTAGTTCTCTGGTTTGGCTATAAAATACACGCAAAGTTAAAAGTTAATTAGATAATTATATATTATTATTCTATTCATTCCCCTTAAACGTATCAAACAATAATGAAGAAAACGAGCACGACGAACTTTGTATATCCCAACAGTTTGCATCATTTGGAAACTTTTCATTTGTGTCAAAAGAGCAGAACAACTCATGGAGGATTACTGCACTTTTTATGAACTATCGACTGTGATCTAAAAATTATTCTAAAATCGCATAAAATAAGTTTATATCATTTTATATCTAAAATAATACCGATTATAAATATATATGTTGAAACACAACGAAAAAATGAAAAAATTCATTACTGAACATTTGTGTGAACTATCGATTTGATCAAAGAATTATTCTAAAATCGTATAAAATAAGTTTATTTCGCTACTTATATCTAAAATAATACAAATTATAACATATGTGTTAAAACATAACGAAGAAATGAAAAAATGCATTTCATACATATTTTATGTAGAGGCGTATATTATATTTACATTTTTACAGTTACAGGTTCAGTTTTATATGGCTAGATAGACTTGTCTGTTGACCCTGTTCAAGAATATATATTATTTAAAAGGTCGAAAATGACCACCAAACATCAGACTAAAACGTTACAAATAATCGCGCAATCTGACGTGAGCACGGCACCGGGCCCACCTCTAGATTAAATCGACCGATGTGCCATCACTAGCAAGCGTACCGGAATGGAAAGAAAATAGTTTTTGTTTTTTACTTTCGCTTAATTTTGCACATTTGTTCGCGTTTCTCGTTTTCTGCGGCCCAGTTTATTGGCTTCGTGGCCAAACCCGCTGCAACCATGTCCAACTGCATTGAAATACCCTTGCAGGACACCGATGAGGTTAGTTTTAAGTGAATTTTAAAATTTCGCAATGAGGGTTCAATAAGTATTGGCTCGGTTTTAGGTGATCGAGGTGGATCCAGATCAACTGCCCGACTGTCCGGAGGTGTTGAGCATCCTGAAGCAGGAGCGTGCCCCGCTGCACGTGTGGGTCAATGTGTCGGTAAGTGGTAGAGGAAGGAGATATTGAGGTTGAGGACTACCCAACGTTTTGGCGCTTTTCCAGCTTGCCTACTACAAGCAAAAGAAGACGGAGGACTTTGTCACGTTGTTGGAGGAGTCACGCAGCGATGACGCCACCAAGGACTATCGGGACTCGGACAAGGACCTCATGCGTGCCCTGGACATGTTGGCCGCCCACTATGTGCAGGAGGCGTATCGCGAAAAGTCCAAGGACAAGAAGCGTGAGCTGTTCATGAAGGCCACCAACCTGTACACCAGCGCCGACAAGATCATCATGTACGACCAGAGCCATCTGCTGGGCAGGGCCTACTTCTGTCTGCTGGAAGGCGACAAGATGGATCAGGCGGACGCACAATTCAACTTTGTGCTTAATCAGTCGCCCTCGAACATCCCCTCACTGCTGGGCAAGGCCTGCATAGCCTTCAATCGGAAGGACTACCGCGGAGCGATGGCGTTCTACAAAAAGGCCCTGAGAACGAATCCCAATTGCCCGGCGAACGTGCGTATTGGCATGGCCCACTGCTTCCTGAAAATGGGCAATCCCGAGAAGGCCAAGCTCGCCTTTGAGCGCGCCCTCCAGCTGGATCAACAGTGTGTCGGGCACTGATTGGCCTTGCCGTGCTTAAACTCAATCAATTGGAGCCGGAGTCCAATAAGCTCGGCGTCCAGATGCTCTCCAAGGCCTACACCATCGACAATGCCAATCCAATGGTGCTCAATCATCTGGCAAACCACTTTTTCTTCAAGAAAGACTACCAGAAGGTTCATCATCTGGCTCTGCACGCCTTCCACAACACCGAGAACGAAGCGATGCGAGCAGAGAGCTGCTATCAGCTGGCAGGAGCTTCCACGCTCAAAGCGACTATGATCAGGCCTTCCAGTACTATTATCAGTCCACCCAGATAGCTCCAGCCAATTTTGTACTGCCGCACTACGGCCTGGGGCAGATGTACATCTATCGTGGGGACACGGAGAACGTAAGTATTTGCAAAAACCCGTAGAGAAAACTTTGGTTGACTCATTACTTAATTTCAGGCCGCTCAGTGTTTCGAGAAGGTGCTGAAAATCCAACCGGGCAACTACGAGACCATGAAGATTCTTGGCTCGCTGTACGCACACTCCAACTCTCAGACCAAACGTGACATGGCCAAGACTCATCTCAAAAAGGTTACTGAACAGTTTCCCGAAGACATTGAAGCCTGGATAGAGCTGCCCAAATTCTTGAACAGAATGATCTCCAGGCCTCACTGAATGCATACGGCACTGCTTCGAGTATTTTGCGGGACAAGGCCAAGTATGAGATACCCGCAGAGATTCAGAACAATGTGGCGTCGTTGCACTACCGTTTGGGCAATCTGAAAATGGCCAAGGACACACTGGAATCGGCACTGCAGCATGCCACCTCGGAGATGGATAAGGATGTTAAGTACTACGAGTCCATTCAGGTCACCATGAAGTACAACCTGGCCCGACTAAACGAGGCCATGAGCAGCTACGATGTTGCTGACAAGCTGTATAAGGAGATCCTCAAGGAGCATCCCAATTACATCGATTGCTATCTACGGTTGGGCTGCATGGCGAGGACAAGGGTCTGATTTTTGTGGCCTCCGATTTCTTTAAGGACGCATTAAATATCAACAACGACAATCCGGATGCCAGGTCTCTGCTGGGCAACCTCCATTTGGCCAAGATGCAGTTCGCTTTGGGCCAAAGAACTTTGAGACAATTCTTAAGAACCCGGCAACTTCCACGGATGCCTATTCACTGATTGCTCTGGGCAACTTTTCGCTGCAAACGCTGCACCAGCCGAGCAGAGACAAGGAGAAGGAGAGGAAGCACCAGGAAAAGGCTTTGGCCATTTTCAAGCAGGTAAGATAAGTGCCGGCTAGAGATTTTGGGAATTTTAACATTTCTCCTCCACCTTCAGGTTCTTCGCAATGATCCGCGTAACATATGGGCGACCAATGGCATTGGCGCAGTTCTGGCCCACAAGGGATGCGTGATCGAGGCGCGCGACATCTTCGCCCAGGTGCGTGAGGCCACCGCTGACTTTTGCGATGTGTGGCTGAACATTGCCCACGTTTACGTGGAACAGAAGCAGTACATCAGCGCCATCCAGATGTACGAGAATTGCATGAAGAAGTTCTACAAGCACAACAATGTCGAGGTGATGCAATATCTGGCCAGAGCGTATTTGCGAGCCAACAAGCTAGTGGAAGCCAAGGCGGTGCTACTGAAGGCACGTCGTGTGGCCCCCCAGGACACTGTTTTGCTCTTCAACATTGCCGTTGTGCTTTCCCGCTTGGCCATGGCCATACTCAAAGATGAGAAGTCCACTCTAGAGGTTGTGTTGCAGGCGGTTCACGAATTGGAGCTGGCTCAAAAGTAAGTTGAAATGTGAATCCCAAAGTAACTGTAGGAAAGGAACATCAATTTAATATCGCGACATTATTCTGGGAAATCCTTGTATTCCCCTATTTCTTGATAATTTCGATTAGGAAGCCTTATCTCCTATAGATTTGAGTTAAGATAACTTTAAAGTACAGGAAATCCTTGAATAATGAGTTTATAATCGTGAAATCTTATCGTCTGGCTGATAATTAATGGAATAATCTGCATGATTCTTCAATGTCCAGACCTGATTAGATTGAATACTCAACTATAATTAAATCCATTAGTAAAATGGCTTTTGAATCCTTTTAAATATTGTTCTTTGTTATACAGATATTCCAATATCTCTCCGTTCACGGCGACAAGAACCGCTTCAACATTGAGGTAGCCGGCATTGAGGCCAACACCTGCCAAGATCTCCTCTCGCAGGCCCAGTATCATGTGGGTCGTGCCCGTCGCATCGACGAGGAGGAACGCTCGCTGCGTCGCAAGCAGGAGGAGGAGCGCGAGGCATTTAAGCTCAAGGTGGCCGAGCAGCGCAAGCGACGCGAGGAGGAAGCCAAGACATCCAGGGATCAGTTGCTGGCCAAGCGGCAGGAGTATGTGGAGAAGACTAAGGCTATGCTCATCATAGCCGATGCTCCTGAAAAGGAACGCAAAAAAGGTGGCGGACGGCAGCGCAAGGATGACTACATCTCCGGTAGTGACAGCGACAACGAAAGACCACGAGACGGCGAGCGTCCACAAAGAAGAAAAGCAAGGCTGGAGAACGCAAGAAGGGCAGTGGTGTGGCCGCAAGCGCAAGACGGAGAAGTACGAGAGCGACAGCGATGAGGAGACTGCTCGGGGCAGTGGAAAGTCCGGTAAGAAAAAGGGCAAGAAGTCCAAGGCGGTCAAGGAGTCCAAGGAAAAGTTGTCCGCCAAGCAGCGCCTCAAAATTGTGTCCAAGGAGACAATCTCGACCAGTGAATCGGAATCGGAGAGCAAACGCAGCCGAAGTAGGAGTAGAAGTCGCAGTCGTAGTGGAAGCAGAAGTCGTAGCGGCTCCGGTAGTGGCAGTGATCGTGCCGCCAGTCGGAAACGCAGTAGGAGCAGAAGTGTATCCGGCTCTGGTAGCGATAGCGATGGAGCAGCAAAGCGCAAACGAGCAAAGAACCGCATCGAATCTGAAGGGGAATCCGATAGATCTGGTTCCCGTCCGAGATCCCGCTCCAAATCGGGTTCCCGTCCGCGATCCCGCTCCAAATCGGGTTCTCGTCCGCGCTCTCGCTCCAAGTCGGCCTCCCGTTCCCGCTCCAAGTCGGGCTCCCGATCCCGTTCACGTTCTCGTTCAAAGTCTGGATCTCGCTCTAGGTCAGGGTCTCGTTCCAGATCACGCTCCAAATCCGGTTCCCGCTCAAGATCCCGTTCTGGCAGCCGGTCGAAGTCCGGATCGCGTAGTCGATCAGGAACGCCCGAAAATTGAAGAGCAAGCGCAACACAACAACAAGCTGAGTAAAACACTTTTGACTATATTTAGAATTTCCTTCAAGAAATGCAGAAAAATAATAAAAATATAAAACAAGTGCAGAATGCATGAGGAATTGCTAAGTGGCTTGCAGGACTTTTTTGCCCAGAAATCGAACATATTTTCAAGTTAAAAGTTGTCTTCTAAACAAATATAAATTATGTTCTATAATTGGAATATAGTCATTTGATTTCTGGACAACAATGTAAAAAACTATCAAAATCCGAGTCCATTTAATTATGTTAGCCATGGGATGAAAAATGAGCCGGGATTGCCCGTCGTCTACTATCGAACTTAAGCCCAACCGGGCTACAGAATTGGCTAGGGTATATTAGTTTTCATCCACGCCGATGCTTTTGGATCATGTCCCGAACGATACCTGCCATGGCTGTGAATGGCGCAGAACGAAGGCGTGGGCAATCTTCTGCGTATCAAGCTGGGCATCAACCTTTGGATAATCCTTTTTCAGCTGCTCGTAGTAAGAGATGGGGACCCAACCGTCAGTGGTACCATAATAAAACTTCAGTATGTCCAGATTCTGTTCCACAATCTCGCGTTGGATTCCACGAACGCGGGCCATCTCATCATCAGCGAGGAAGACCACCTTCTCCGCCACCGAGGGTTTCGAGTACTTTAGGGCAGTACCAATAAAATGACGCGGAATTGAGAAATCAGGAAGTAGATCTGTATGAAGAACAGACGGAGCCAAACGGGCAGCGCATTAAAAAGCGTGAAGAATATGTAGCCAAAGACGAGTACAGGGGCATGGCTATCTTGGTGAAGACCCAGCCGTTGGGCGTCTCCATCATGCGCTCGACAGTGGGAAAGAGCATGTAGCACTTCTGGACTCGATTCCGGATTCGCTCGTTTTCCAGCAGTTGCAGGATCATCCAGGCGCCGATGGAGTGGCCAATCAAATGAATTTTCACATCGCTCGGGACGTACTTCTCGATAAATGCGATCTTGTGCCGGATTTGCCCGTCCAAATTGAACAACTCCTCGTTGCCGCTGAGCTGGGGAACCTCTCGAATGCTGGCCTCGGGCGGATCATCGTGGCCAGCATGTCCTGTGCAAAATGTGAGACCATGTAAGCACCGGTGCTCTATATTGTCTGCAAACACTCACCGATCACCCACACGGGAAGGTCGCCCAACTCTCTCTGCAGTGTGCCCGCGAACTCTGTGTAAAAGCCAGGCAGTCCGGGATTGCCCGTTATGCAGATCACCACCTCCTTCTCGGTCAACGTCTCCTCGATCCACTTTCCCCACGTGAAGATGTGTGTGGGTATTGAGTTAATGTTGACGTATGCCTCCTGCATGTCGTCGGCGTGGCACAATTGCTGAAAATCAATCGAATCGAACCACAGCCAACTGCTGCTGCTCCAGCTCTTTTAACACGCAATGTCTCGTCCACGTTCCCGTGGCAACCGGTTTTTCCTTTGTTCAACTTCACAGCTGGCGCAGCCTTTGGCGATATTTGAATCCGTCGGTTTGGCGCGTTATATCCAATGTTTGATAGCTTGATTAACACTATGCCGAAGCAGATAGTCTTTCGATTCGTGTTTTGGTCAAAGGTCAGAGGTTCATTAAACCGGCCAGAAGGAACGGCTGATAACCAGGTAACCAGGGCTACAATGGCCGGCAAAATCAGCTGTTTGCATTACGTTTTAAATTTCTACACTGGAACACACATTAGTACGTAATAATTAAGTAAATAGCATTATTAATTCTTCCAATTACAAAATAAATAAATGGTATTACATACGTTTGTATATATAAAGCAATCATTGTTTTAATTTTAATTAAAGCAGACACAGAGTTGCCAACTTACGAAAAGAATTCAGTGCTGGCAACTTTTCCGTGCAATTAAATGCTAAAATAACCTTCCAAACCTGCTAGAAACGGCTAGATCAAATACAAAAAAAAGCCAGAAAAAAGCCATTTAAGTTTTGACTGAATATTTTTAATATGTATTTTTAATTGAAAATTGACAGACAATTATTGAGCTCAATGAAATCGATATGCCAAATGGCAAATTTCCCGCAGCAGCTAGCTTTTTATTTTCCTGCGTATGACTATTGAAAGTTGCCAGATCTAGCCGGCAAAAGGATAAGGTGGCAGCACTGAAGGCAATGCTGGCGCTCTCACAATCGATTGGCAGCCCCTCACTTATTTGTTGGTTTTTTGTTGCTGGTTTTTGATTTTTTATATTTTATTTTCATAGAAAACTGATATGCAACCGTAAATCTCGGTCAATACGTTGTTAACCCCAAATGAAAAGCAAGATCCAGACACAACAGTGTGTGACAGTGTCAAAGGCATGAGCAAAGGCATCCCGAGCGGCGGAACCACAGCAAAAACAACAGCGCGCAGGGGGCAAAAGTGGACGAAGAATGTAGCTAACAGCCCAGCTGCTTTCTCGAAAATTCTCGTAGCGACGGAAGTGTATCAGCAAGAAAGTAATTAAGCAAAAGTCAACGGAACTGGTGCTGGAATGACAACTGCCATGGAGCTATACTGCTGGGGGAGCACCACCCATGGACAACTGGGTCTTGGCGGCATAGAGGACGAGCAGGTGGGTGACAATCTTTTAGAGTTGACAGGCGCTGTCTACTGAGTTACTTCAATCCATCGTCAGATCGTTACGCCCAGCCAAATACCATGGAAGCCGGACTCCGCCGTGCAGCAGGTGGCCTGTGGGCACCGGCACACCCTCTTCCTGACCGCCAACGGCAAAGTGTACGCCTGCGGCAGCAACGACCACTCGCAGCTGGGGCACGATCTACCCACCAAAAGGCCACGTATGTCGCCATTTCGTATGTACATAATCTTCATGTATCGTCTTGTCTTTCCTTTCACTCCTATCTCCACCGCATCGCCACCGCCACCACCACCGCTGTAATCGAGGTTTAGTACCACATTCACTCTCCTCTGCGGACTCTTTGCAGTGCTTATCCCCGAGTTACAGGACTATGTGATTATCCAGATCGCGTGCGGCAGCCGCCACTCGTTGGCCCTATCCGAGTGGGGTCAGGTGCTAAGTTGGGGCGACAACGATTGCGGCCAACTGGGTCATGCCACTGATCAGGAGATCATTCAGCTGCCGAAGGTCGTGCGTCAGCTAGTGTCCAAAACAGTGGTGCAGATTGCGTGCGGCAATAATCATAGCCTGGCGCTAACGAGCTGTAAGTGTAATCCTTTGGCACTTGGCTCTTCAGAACTTTTCCCTCTGATACACACCCATAATTTACCTTTCAGGTGGTGAAATGTATTCGTGGGGCTCCAACATCTACGGCCAGTTGGGCGTGAACATGCCCAATGAGCTGACGCACAGTAATCATCCCGTAAGATTGACCACGCTTCTGGGAATTCCGGTGGCGGCCATTGCCTGCGGTGGCAATCACTCGTTTCTCATCTCCAAGTCAAGTGCCGTGTTCGGTTGGGGCAGGAACAACTGCGGGCAACTCGGACTGAATGACGAAGAGAACCGCGCCTATCCCACCCAGCTGAAGACGCTGCGCACTTTGGGCGTACGATTCGTGGCCTGCGGCGATGAGTTCTCAGTGTTTCTGACAAACGAGGGCGGTGTGTTCACCTGTGGAGCTGGCGCCTATGGCCAATTGGGACATGGCTTCGGCTCAAATGAGATGCTGCCAAGAATGGTCATGGAATTAATGGGTAGCACCATTACTCAAGTCGCCTGCGGCAATCGACACACTATGGCGCTAGTGCCGTCGCGCGGAAGGGTCTACAGCTTCGGATTGGGCAGCTCGGGGCAGTTGGGAACGAGGAGCACCAAGAGTTTGATGCTGCCGCAAGTGGTCATCGGTCCTTGGGTATCGCCCAGTGGATCGGCTTTGCTGCAGTCCAGCGATGCGAAGGTCTCGGTGGTCATTCATCAGATCTTCTCCGGCGGGGATCAGTCCATTGTGACGACCACATTGTATGTGGACAAAGTGCCGCCTGAAGATCTAAGAAATTACAAGTAATGACAAGTATCTTCATTTTAAGAATTGTATTAAAATCGACGATTTCCTCCTATTTTCAGGAAAAAATCCCAGATTTTGGCCCTAACGGCGGAGGCCACCAAGCAATGTGCTCGTTTCAAGCAGGATGATCAAAGCGACTTGGATCTGCTAAACACCATGGAGCTGATCTTCAAAAGTCAGGCCTGCCTGAATGCCTCTTTCTTGCTGGACCACGAAAGACACTTTGGCTGTTCCGTTCGCAACCATGGATTGGATCTCAAGGCGGCTCAACTGGCCTTTGATCATTTGCGTAATGTCGAGAACGAAGCCATCAAGCAGGTGGTGCGTATGAGTCTTTGCTTGATCTCCGATATTTCTTCTAAAGATCACCTTTTCAGATTTGGGACAATGTCACCAAGGAACTGATTGGTTCCATGGTGGCCTCACCCGCTGATGTTGAGAGCATGCGTGTATACCTCCTGCTGCCGCTGTATCATGAGTTTGTGAACTCTAAGCACTACAAGTCCCTGCAGGTGCCCTTCGCCAATGCCATATTTAAACTGACGGAGAATCCGCGGAAGGTGCTGATTAAGTGGCTAGCCCAAACGCCATCGGAATACTTTGAGCATTTGGTGCAAAATTTTCTGCACGTCGTAGTCCACATAATAAGCTTCAAAATGGACTTGGCTGTCGTTAATCCCGCAGCTGAGAGACGTCAAAGGGTACGTTTTTGAATATAGCAGTGCGGAAGCGAATAACGATGTCCATTTTTATTATGCAGCTGCTCCCCTACAGCTCCGATCTAGAAGTTATCCTAAAGCTGATCTCAACGCTCTGCGCCATCAATAACCGGCGTGATGAGCGCCTTAATTATCAGGTCTTCTACTGGCCGGATCTCGCCGACTACGCTGACGTCCAGCAGGAGTATGTGAAGTGGATAATGGCCGACACTGCCGGAGAGTTCAATATCTGCAACTATTCATTCCTATTTGATCCCGCGGCGAAAACGGCACTGCTGCAAGCGGATCAGGCCCTTCAGATGCACTCGGCCATGGCCAATGCGGCCAACAATGTGAGTTTAGGGTTTCACAGGATGGATTTGCCAACTAATACACACTCACTCTCCACAGGCATTTTACAATCTGCTAAACTACGGCATGCCAATCTCCCAGTTCATAGTGCTGAACGTGACCCGAGAGAATCTTGTGCAGGATTCCCTCCGAGAGTTGCAGCGCTACCCGCAGAGTGATCTTAAGAAGCCTCTGAAGATCAAGTTCCAAGGCGAGGAAGCCGAGGATGCCGGTGGAGTGCGCAAGGAGTTCTTTATGCTGCTTTTGAAAGATCTCCTCGATCCGAAGTATGGCATGTTCAAGGAATTTGAGGAGTCCCGGTTGCTTTGGTTCGCCGATCTAACCTTTGAGACGGAGAACATGTACTTCCTGATTGGCGTGCTCTGCGGCCTGGCCATTTACAACTTTACGATAATCAATCTGCCTTTCCCGCTGGCATTATTCAAGAAGTTATTGGGTAAATCAGTCGACCTCAGCGATCTCCGCCAGTTGTCGCCGCAGGAGGCCAACTCTATGCAGTCGTTGCTTGATTACAAGGGCGAGGATTTCAAGGAAGTCTTCGACCTGACCTTTGAGATATCGCGAGACGTGTTTGGCGAGTCGGAGACCAAGTGCCTTAAGCCTAACGGCAGCGACATAGCCGTAACTCTTGAAAACAGGTTAGACTTTCTTTTGATATTAAATATACATTTCTTGATATAAATTTCCCTTCAGACAAGAGTTTGTGGACCTGTATGTGGACTTTGTGTTTAACAAGTCGGTGGAGTTGCACTACAATGCCTTCCACAAGGGCTTCTTGAAGGTGTGCTCCGGTCGAGTGATTAACATTTTTCAGCCGGAGGAGCTGATGGCGGTGGTGGTTGGCAACGAGGAATATGACTGGCAGGCACTGCAGGATAACTGCGAGTACAAAGAGGGCTACTCATCGGGCGATGATACTGTGAGTACCTACCGTAGTGGATTATTGCAATTGCTTGATTTTAATTTCCGTGTAGATCAAATGGTTCTGGGAGATCATCCATGATCTGTCCGAGGCAGAAAAGAAGAGTTTCCTCCTCTATTTGACTGGCAGCGATCGTATTCCCATCCAGGGCATGAAGGCTCTCAAGGTGAGTATTACAAGAAGATTGGAAAGTACAAAGAAATCAAAGTCAGACTCGCACGCAGCTCACCATTCAGCCCACTTCCGATGAGCGCTTCCTGCCCGTCGCCCACACTTGCTTTAACCTGCTGGATCTGCCGCGCTACAAGACCAAGGAGCGCCTCAAGTTCAAGCTGCTTCAAGCCATCCAGCAAACTCAGGGCTTCAGCCTGGTCTGATACACACACCGGCTTTCAAGTACAGGTATTTTTTCCAAAACTATTTCTCGCATTTCTGGATTTAAGAAGAACGATACATGGAACACAGACATTTATCACCGATCAAATCAAATAGTATAATGTTGTGTGTTATGGCTTTAAAAAACTAGAGTAAATATCACATTGTTATGGAATTTAAGGTAAAAAAGAGAAAGTAAGAATAAAATTGGTGCATCAGTTTGAAGACTATAAAAAGCAAGCTTTTTTCTTGAAATTTCAATACCATTGCAATGAAAATCATAACGATCATAACTAAGCCAAAAATTCATTGATTTTAATTCGGAAAGCTTTCCTATTTACATTTTTATTGAGTTTATAAATCTGTAAACTCAATTTACAATTTTAAAAAATTCAAATTTATTTTTTCAATTTTTGAAAATTTTAACTATGTAACCCTCATAAAATTTTCAAAAATTTGTAAAGAAAACTGCGTTGACTTAAATTATAATACCATGCAAGAGTATAAAAAAACGATCTTAAAAATTAAATTCGATAACGATCACATCGAACTCAACAGGTTGCTTTGATATATCGATAAATACGACATCAGCTGTTTGCAAAATGTGGCGGCAAATCGAAACCCGACGAAGTCAGTTAAGTTTCAACTTTTGCAAAGCGCACTCGCGTGCGGGAAAAGCCGCGTGTTTAACATTTATTATCGGGTCGAGAACTTTTTGGGCACTTTTCTCATTTGAATGCGTAGGGCGTGTGGGGTGTAAAATATTAAACGACAGGCACGAAAACCACAGTGTATGTGTGTGTGGCAGTGCAAGTGCTGTTGCCGCCTTGGCCTCGATTTTTCATTAAACAACAACAAAATAAACAAATAAAACACACACTCCCGACAAGTTCGCGGCTCGATCGTTTTTTTTTGCCGCTGTCACCTGGAGCGCCGGGTCAAGCTAACGGTACCCGCATCGAAAAAGAAACTCAAACAGGTAGAAACAAATAACGAGGTGAAATTATGCGTACTTAGGAGGCCCGCTTACAAATATGCTGAGCTTGCTGTCCAATTTGTCAATCGGTTGTCCGAGCTTCTTATTAATCCGCCATAAGACATGGCCCCGTTGGCCTATAAAACCAATTACCACTACCGATCTTTGCATATCCTGACAGCTTACAAATGTTAAAAGCACCGGGAGATGACACGAAAAATGTAAAAAAATTAAAAACTAAAAATATCATAAGCAATATGCGGTGCAAAAACAACAAAAAAGAAATAAATTCGAAAAAGCGGTTCTGCCGGTTTGCCTGTGGTCGTGATCTGCAGCGTCTTCCGCTGCTTTCTTTCCTTTGCACGATTTGAACTTGGACACCAAACGCAACAAAAGCTACAAAAGAAAAGAAAAAAAATAGCTACAAAAGCCAGGATGCACTGAAAAAAACTTGTTTAAAAATAATCCATTGATAAGGAATTTAACTTCGGGGAACCTAAGTTTGTTTTCAATTGGATCATAGGAAAGTATCATAACTAAGCCAAAAATGCATTAATTTAATTCGGAAACATTTTATGTTAGTTTTGTTAGGTAACATCTGCATACTCTATTAAAATTAAAAAAAATTAAAATTGTTATAAATGTGGAAAATTGTAACGATGTAACCCTTATAAAATTTTGAAAATAATTGAAATACCACAACTTCAAGCAAAGTATTTAGTTTTTCTCCCCGTGGAAGCAGCCACAAATCGAAGAGGAGATCTGGTTTACGGTGATGCTCCTCTAATAAAGCGAACGTTTAGGCACATCAATTTTGCTCTTTCTCTCCTTCTTTCTCTCTCTCTCTCTCTCTCGATGTTCCTCCTGCTTCCTGTTGTGGCTTCTTCCTCACGCACACCATGGCCTCCATCGAGGATGTGTGGCTGTGGTGGTTGGGGTTCACCTGCCCGTCTTCCTCGCCCACCGCAAGCTAAGTCTGTTTGTCCTGGTTTTATAGCAGGAACAAATAGACACAGACAGACTCAGGCACACACACAGCCAAAGAGGGTCAACACTGCGTATGGATTTGTGTGAGAGCGGGGCTATGAGTAATCAGTATGCAGCGTGGAGGGATATACACTCAGATATATATATGTTATGTACACATGTACTCCCCTTCCTCGCTGACCAATTGAAAATGTATCAAATTTCGATTTCATTGACAAACTGTTGCGGCCCACCATTAAATTGACCCAATTTTGAAAACTGTGGCCATAAGCTGCTTAAAATAAGCAACTGCAATCGATCGAGAAACCTAATGATTTGCCAAATCTGGCAGCTGTTTAAATACAAACAAATAACAATAATGCTACACTTTGAGAAAATACTACATAAAAATATGCCTGAAATTAAGTTAATGGTATGGAATAAGGAATTCAAACAGAATATTAAATAATTTAAGACTTAATTGAGGTCTTATATGTAATGTTCTTAGTTGACGGTCAACACTTCTTTTTAAGAAGAATAAAAACTGAAAACAAGTTCTACAAGTAATGATTCATACACTTTAGGACCTCTTTTTTCGAGTGCATAAAGCACTGGCCTCAATGTCATTGCCTCACACTTGGCACCCAAATGAAACGAGTTGGAAAACCATGCCGAGGCAGCAGATACACAGAAACAGAAGATTATTTTGGTAATGATGTAATGCCAAGTTTTTTTTGCCAACTAACTGGCCAAACAAAAAGACAAAAGAGGTAAAGAACCCAGACCCCGAGAGAAGGAAATAAAATTTCACGCTTTTTGGTTCGGTTAATTGTGATACATATTTATTATCGCCCTAGCCTTGTCTAGCGGCTTACCACATTAACATTTAAGCAAATCTTACGCCAACTATGTGGTATCCACACCCACAACCAACCGATAAAAAACAGTGTAAAGCTTTGATGACAAACTTGAACTTTCCCTTATCGGTTTCGGTCGGTATCGCGCGTTATCTCTTTACCGGGGTTCAACCAATTTCACTGATATAACAATTGATCATGTACACATACAGGGTGTAGTATCTCTTTCGGGGCCCATTGCATTTTATGACTTTCGTTTATTTCCCATTAAAAAGAGCTGATTTGATAAGATATTAAAGTAAAGGGGAAATGCCAAGACCCCGAGCGATTGTATAAATGTCCACATAACCATTGAAGCATTGAGTTTTCCAAGAAAGATTTGCAAATGCCCTGAATTAGGGGGGTAAAGTTGACTTTTAGAATGCCCTATTTTTATGAATGGGAAGATTATTGATGGATGATCTTTTTTGTTTACTAACTAATTAATTATTTTTATTATGATTGATTGATTTCATATTCATATTTCTCATTACTCTACATATTTAAATTCCAAAGTAATTTTCAAAAGACTATTTATTCCACATTCAATCCGAAACCCAACTCCCAGTAACTTGTTCCCCCTTGGATATTTCTTATCCCACCCTCACACAAATATTTATCGGAGCCATTCATGGTCATATGCCCTACTCGAATGGAGGTACCTTAGTGAGCACAAAATACACACATAGCAAAAGTCGATCCACTTGTCATAAAACCACGATTGACGAGAACCCGGGAGTCTTTCAATTCCATTTCCACATTGCCAGAACGGCGATGGAGGAGTGAGTGTCGTCGCCAGCTCGTGTTGGGATCACAATTACAACGAATCGGATTTTTGGCAAAAGTGTCAATCTAGCAGAAAAACGTATTTTTACTTATTCAACGTGAGTGAGTGTGTGCAAGCCAAAAGTCTGCTTTCAAGCAATTTCAATAAAAAGGTAAAAGATAAAATGAAACCTTATTTCAGCAGATTTTTTTTCTGTAAGTCCGTTCAAGATCAGCCGCCTGTTGACGCTTTTTATGGGTAGCAATGGTGCTAAGAAAACAGCAAACGAGAATGCCACCAGTGATTGTTCAATACTTAATGGTTATCCGAGGCTTTGGATACTTGCTATGCGTCACAGATGCCGGCAAGATCTCCTCGGGGCCTCGTCCCCGAAAATGTGCGGGTGACTCAGCTCAGCGGGCGAGTCCAGATTTGTGAGTTTCGCTCAACTCAACTCAACCGCACATTGCAAACTTTGAATTTTAATTTATCAGAAACCGGGGAGGGAGAGAGAAATGTGGCGATGACTGAACGATCATCTGAAATTCAGACTCTGAACAAATTCCATCATCGATGCTTTCGGTCAGCGGCCTTTTCGTAATAAGTATGCTCTTGGCAAACCTAATGATCCATTCATGAGTCGTGATTCTTAAAAGCTTTGTATTTCGATATTCTCAGGCCATAAGTTGGGATCGATTACATGGCAAGATTTTTGCTACTTTCTAAAGATTTGTTTAAGGTATTATTGCGATTTGATAAGTTTAATTGGAGGACTAAAACTGTTGTCTGGATCCATATGGGTTCACTTGGATTGTGGCTCCGTTTCAGAGTATTATAATTTTAGTCGAAAGCTTGAAACGCTGTAAAGGAATTTCCGACCCTATAAATCATATATATTCTTGATCATCATTAACAGCCGAATCTTTCTGGGCATATGGGAGAGATAAAATTTTTTTTGCCATTTTTCCCAAATTCTTTAAGGGGTTACATCGTTAAAACGTTCAGAAATGTATACAAATTTTGAGTTTTTGGAATTTTAAATTGAGTATGCAGATTTATAACATATTAAAAACTGACATAGGAACGGTTTCCGAATTGAATTTAATGCATTTTTGGCTTAGTTATATTTTTTTAACTTTGATTTTCGAAAAATGCTCAAATAAATATATCGAAAATACCAATTTAACGAATTAATTAATTTAGATCGATTGCCGATGGATCATTAATTCAAACTGTTATATAAGTATAAACTTTGGTTACCGAAGTTAGTATCCATTCTTGTTACTCTGTTAAATATCTGTCAGGTTATTTTTCTGAAAGACTTTAAAGTTTCCCCTAAATCAAACTCCATTCTTGAAATTTCAATTGTGTCTTCAAGAATTCTAAAACTTTTATTCAATTATGGCCAATCCTTCACTTAATAGTTCAATTTCCTAAGTCCTGGCCATTTGGAGAAGATGATACAGTGGCACAATGTTGGCACTATTCCTACCCTCTAGGAAGTTCTGGGAGAGCACGGCGCGGCCCTGGAAGACACCCGGAATGGGCGAGGGCGTTAGGCCATCGGGTCCGGGTACCTGGTTATCCCCATCGCCGCCGGCCGAGGACCGATAGAAGGGATAGAACGGATAGCCGGGATACCGCCGAAGCCAGGATAGCCCCCATAGCCAGGATAGCCATAGCCACCGTATCCTCCGTAGTAGTTGTAGGGATTGTAGTAGGGATTGTAGAATGAAGGCGGCTGTGGTCCTGGCACTGGCGGTGGTGGAGGCGGCGGTCCCCAGGGACGTGACGGTGGCGGCGGGTAAATGGGCGGAGTATGCGACCATGGCGGCGGCGGACCATAGCCGTACTGGCGCGGATGCTGCTGATCCTCTGGTGGATAATAGTAATGATGTTGATGTACTGACGGTTTCGGGGTGGTCGTCGAGGCGCCGTAGGTTGTCACCAGCTTGATGCCGCCCTTACCAATGGTCTTCAGTAGGTGCTCGTCGATTCCCCGACCACTGCCCAGCGTTTCGTCCAGCACCTGTTGCTGCTTATCGTTCTGGCCTGACCGGTCACCAGGCTGCTCTGCACTGGGGCCTTGTCCTGGAAGCCCCAACCGTGGCCCACCAGCTGCAGCAGGAGAACTGCATTGAAGGAGAACGAGTTCCGAGTTAATAGGGATCCCTTCTAGAAGATTTTTAAAATAACTGATACTCACCCAGACAAATCGCAGTCACTCTTCGATCCATGATCGCCATGATGGTAATAACTTGACCACTGCAGCTGCATTCCCTTTTTATACACAGTCGATGCATCTCCAGTTCCCGGGCATCGTTTTGTGCCCGGTTTTCTCATTAGAATAGTGGCCCAAATTTGGACTGGCTTTCTTTTCTTCATCGCTCCGATCTCTAGATTTTGTTCTCGATCTCGGATCGATCAAGGCACCGTTCTAATAACTACGCTCATTAATTTGCATACGAACCATAGGGGCTTTGTGAGATCTTCCCACTTCTTAACACATTCTCGATTCTTTGTTCTTTAATCGCTCGGACAGCAGTGCATTAAGTCAATGCACATTTAAGAGTTCAATATCTATAGTCAATTGATATATGACGTCATTTGTATGCAGATCTAGAAAGCTAATTGCACTGAAGGAAACAACAATCGAAAATCAACACTATTAAATTAAAGATAGTTTATTTAAGATCTTAATCTTTATCCATTTACATTTACCTTACCTGTTTGTTCTTGGTTTTATTTAATGGATATCCGGGTTAGCCTTATATTAATCTTATTTTTAAATGTAAGGCAAAGCTAGAATTCTTTCAATCCTTCCTTCAGAAGCAACGATAAATTTAAAATTTTCAGTTCTAGTCTCGATCTTCCATCGATTTTGTTCAGTGTTGAAATAAAAAGTTAAGAACTTATGCGCGTTTGGGGTGGGATAAACATTTTTGGGTTCCGTTATGGGTCGTGTGTCGTAGACATGTTTACGAGTTGTCCGATTCCACTAAGAGCTGGAGTTCTTCTCTCTTATGTTACATCATGATTGTGGAGCAGAGAAACCAGTTCTCCACTCAATTACAAAAGCTGAATGGCGACAAAAGAATGCGTGGATCAAAAGCCGACAAGAAGGCGACTCCCTGAGGAAAGGAAAAAAAACCACATGGGGAAAGTTTAATGACTTTTGATACCCTCGAAAAGGGAATATAAATATTTTAAAATTTAATTCGTAAGGGAAATGACCACACTAGTTACTTCCAAAAATAGGTTGTGATTAAAGAACTTTTATGCGATAGTTCTCAGTAAAAAAGTCAAAGTTTTAATATTTCAATAAACAAACCTTGATTTAAAGAGAAAACAATTAACTATTACTGAATAAATAATAATTTAATCACGTAATTAGAACTTTGATATTCACCCATCTATTTATATTTATGATGTTCCCGAAATTATTAAGGTATTTATATTTATCAATAACCCGTAATGAGTTTATCTTATCATATTAATGTCTGTCTGTTAGGACACCTAATTAAATTTGTTGTGTAGAAATAACTTTGTTATCAATGCGTGCCAAAAGTCGTCTACAACTGTCTATATCTATTTCTGTCTAGCTCTACGGGATGGGGTATCTGGATGTTGAGAACCTTACGATATTTACCTTCCCATTTATATATGTTTTGTAGCATAACCTCAGGCGTCTATAAATTACCTTAAGGTGCGAAATTAAATGGTAAAGCCATGTCTGTCTCCCATTATGCATACACCTTTATAAAGATTCTCGAAGACATGTTTCGCTATCCACAGCCATCTCAGTCCTACGTGCAATTAACCAATTATGTGACAAACACCAACTTGCCACAGGCTGGGACGTGTCTGTCGATCTCTTGGAGCTCGAGAATTCCTGCAACTAGACCTTCAGTCTTGAATTGCCGGCAAACATTTTGCAATTAGTCCAGGGCCTTGTCTCGGCAGATCTCTTTTCCTCCGCCTCCATTGATCACCTATCGTTGGGAAACAACAAAACAAAAGCGACATCAATTGATACCAAGGGTGTGCATGAGTGTGTGTACGAACTACTTACTTACAATGTTTGCATTCGACAATGACTTATTTAGCGAACTGATAGCTGATAACACGGCGCTAATGTGAGAGCGATCGGAGTCGGGGTCCGCCCCAGAGTCTGGCTTTGAAATGGGAATGAGAGTGCTGACTCAACGAATTCATTTTTATGAGACAGTCAGCGAAAGATCTCTAAGCCGCAAAGTTCGCTAAAACAACAGGGAAACTATCCGGGAAATCGATTTAGTTAACAACTATTAGTTTTTTTAAAAGTATTAAAACAAACTGTATTGAATATGCTGATTATATTCGAAATTCGTGAATTTGTTTTGATACTATAATTTTTAATCAGTGATCATTCAGAAGTTGAAACCTTATTTATCAACTGAAATATGGATAACTGTCCCAAGTGAGCGAATTTATTCTAAAATGACTTAAAAACAAATATAAACTGTTTTGGGTGATTCTCTTTTCATTACTATGATTTTAAAATTGAACGAGAATGGAAGAAAGCGTCGGAGAGCTAAAATTTGAATACCCTTGCAGTTTTGATTTTTAATAATTAATCCAAAAATTAATCAATTTCAATTCGGAAACCGCTCCTACGTTAGTTTTCATTAGGATTTGTTAATCTATGAAAAATTAGCATATAACCGTTTTCTGAATTAAAATTAATGATTTTTTGGCTATTATGCTATTATGCTATTTTAGCTTAATTATGATGTTTGGAAAACATAGAATTTTTAGGAAAATTGTCTCAATTTTCATACCTTTTTGCAGAGTATAGCTTCAGTCAGAAGATTAAAACGCAGTGAAGGAGTCTTTTCCGGCCCTATAAACCATATATATTCTTGATCAGCATCAACAGCCCAGTCGTTCCAGCTATGTCCGGTCAAAAATAATTTTTTACATTTTTCCGAAAATTGAAAATTTTACATATTAAAATTGCCAAAATTTGACAAAAAATAGAATTTTTTATATTTAAAAACTGAGTATGCAGCTTTGTTAATCTACTAAAAACTAGCATAGAACAGCTTTCCGAATTAAAATGATTAATTTTTGGCTTAGTTATGAGTTTTTTCAAACTATGATTTTCGGAAAATTGTCTGTTTTTTTTTTTTTTTTTTTTATCAGACTTATAGCATCAAAACCATATGAATTGTTATGCTAAACTTGCAAGTTGATCAAATTATGCTATTTTTTTTATGTTTGGAACCAGATTTTTAGAAATTGTCTTTTTTATACCTTTTGCAGAGTATAGCTTCAGTCAGAAGATTAAAACGCAGTGAAGGAGTCTTTTTCGACCCTATAAACCATATATATTCTTGATCAGCACAACAGCCCAGTCGTTCTAGCCATGTTGGTCAAAAAATAAATTTTTTACATTTTCCGAAAATTGAAATTTTATAAGGGGTTACATCATTAAAATTGCCAAAATTTGACAAAAAATTGAATTTTTATATTTAAAAACTGAGTATGCAGCTTTGTTAATCTACTAAAAACTAGCATAGAACAGCTTTCCGAATTAAAATGATTTAATTTTTGGCTTAGTTATGAGTTTTTTCAAACTATGATTTTTCGGAAAAATTGTCTGTTTTTATACCTTTTTGCCTGTTTTTTTAATTTCAGTCAGAAACTTATAGCAGCATCAACAAACGCAGTATGCAGATTTGTTAGTGCTATAAAAACTTGCACAGAAAAGTTTCCGAATCAAAATTAATGCTATTTTGGCTTAATTATGATGTTTGGAAAACCCAGATTATTTAAGAAAATTGTCTGTTTTTATACCTTTTTGCAGAGTATAGCTTCAGTCAGAAGATTAAAACGCAGTGAAGGAGTCTTTTTCGACCCTATAAACCATATATATTCTTGATCAGCACCAACAGCCCAGTCGTTCTAGCCATGTTTGGTCAAAAAATAAATTTTTTACATTTTTCCGAAAATTGGAAATTTTATAAGGGGTTACATCATTAAAATTGCCAAAATTTGACAAAAAATAGAATTTTTATATTTAAAAACTGAGTATGCAGCTTTGTTAATCTACTAAAAACTAGCATAGAACAGCTTTCCGAATTAAAATGATTTAATTTTTGGCTTAGTTATGAGTTTTTTCAAACTATGATTTTTCGGAAAAATTGTCTGTTTTTATACCTTTTTGCCTGTTTTTTTAATTTCAGTCAGAAACTTATAGCAGCATCAACAAACGCAGTATGCAGATTTGTTAGTGCTATAAAAACTTGCACAGAAAAGTTTTCCGAATCAAAATTAATGCTATTTTGGCTTAATTATGATGTTTGGAAAACCCAGATTATTTAAGAAAATTGTCTGTTTTTATACCTTTTTGCAGAGTATAGCTTCAGTCAGAAGATTAAAACGCAGTGAAGGAGTCTTTTTCGACCCTATAAACCATATATATTCTTGATCAGCACCAACAGCCCAGTCGTTCTAGCCATGTTTGGTCAAAAAATAAATTTTTTACATTTTTCCGAAAATTGGAAATTTTATAAGGGTTACATCATTAAAATTGCCAAAATTTGACAAAAAATAGAATTTTTTATATTTAAAAACTGAGTATGCAGCTTTGTTAATCTACTAAAAACTAGCATAGAACAGCTTTCCGAATTAAAATGATTTAATTTTTGGCTTAGTTATGAGTTTTTTCAAACTATGATTTTTCGGAAAATTGTCTGTTTTTATACCTTTTTGCCTGTTTTTTTAATTTCAGTCAGAAACTTATAGCAGCATCAACAAACGCAGTATGCAGATTTGTTAGTGCTATAAAAACTTGCACAGAAAAGTTTTCCGAATCAAAATTAATGCTATTTTGGCTTAATTATGATGTTTGGAAAACCCAGATTATTTAAGAAAATTGTCTGTTTTTATACCTTTTTGCAGAGTATAGCTTCAGTCAGAAGATTAAAACGCAGTGAAGGAGTCTTTTTCGACCCTATAAACCATATATATTCTTGATCAGCACCAACAGCCCAGTCGTTCTAGCCATGTTTGGTCAAAAAATAAATTTTTTACATTTTTCCGAAAATTGGAAATTTTATAAGGGGTTACATCATTAAAATTGCCAAAATTTGACAAAAAATAGAATTTTTTATATTTAAAAACTGAGTATGCAGCTTTGTTAATCTACTAAAAACTAGCATAGAACAGCTTTCCGAATTAAAATGATTTAATT